TTCGAAAACATTGATGTATATTTGATATGGTGAACCTACATCCTTCCTCAAAATTTTATGGGATCCATCTCCTTTTTATATATTGTTCAACAGAGAGGATTTCCATTTTGCAAAGTATAGGTGTGCTTGAATAAATGTAGATGACTAGAACTGGTGATGACTATACCGGAAAAATAAAATATGCACTCAGACAATAACACGGAATAACTAAAACCACAATGGCAGCCCGTGCATTCCGGTGGCTGAATCCGTATCAAGAACAATAGAAATAAATATTTTTAATACGTATAGTGCGTAAAAAGTTTGCAATAGACATACTTAAGAACGCCGAATATTTCTAAATAACGGGTTTGCATCACTTGTACATCAATCACCGCAACTTCATGTATCTATAGGTAAACAAAATAGGGCTCAGTTCATCAAAATCTATGAGGTTGCAAAGTGTCAAGATAAAAAATCTAAAAGAAAAAATTGTTCCGGTTCAAAAAAATATTTTATTTTCCGATGTGAAAAAATATTTTTTTTTTTCGGTAGTAAAATCTTTTTGAAGAATTCTCCAGCCAAGATTCCCTCTAATTTATTCGATTGTTAGATTATTGAATAGCTCTACTATGGTTAGCTTTGTTTTGTTAATGTGATATGTGATATGCTAATAATTGTTTGTCTTCCTCGTTCATTAAAAAGTGAGGTTGAAGTGAGCAATTCCTAGTGTCAATTTTTGGTATAACACGTCATCCGGTTTCAAGTTCAAGTGGCTATAGGCTTAGAGTTTGGATGACTCTCAGATATATTCCAAGAAATGTGGTGGATTAATTGGTTAAAATCCCTTGGAATATCCGGATTATTCCAAAAATACTTCAATATTTTTTAACGGGACGGCTGCATCTTGATAATGCGAAAGCAGTAAGAGCGCATTTGGAGATAACAATAAAAAATAAAATCTAAAAAAATAATATTTATACCTTGGCTAATAATATATATACAAATATCACCAAGATACAATGCAATTATTGTCTAAAATAATATAGATCATCAACATTTTTGCATAATTGTCAGGTGAGCACATGCATGATTGCTCCATAATTTTCCTGCCAAGATAAAATGATCATAGCTTGGGATTAAAAATGCTAGCTACGACGGTACGGAAATTTTCAATCCAAGATGTAGCTGCAAGTAATTTGACACTCATAACAACGGAGACTAAAGTTCGTCTCTGAAAAAAAAAAGATCTAGGGGGGCACTTCGGTTGTCCAATTCAGGCGAACTTAAGTAATTCTATGATTGAATGGAAATGAGACTCGTGTATAAAAAACATGCCACCCCGTTTTATGTAAAAGAATGATTTTATCTTATCTAATTACATTTTTATTTTTTCAGAAAATATTTTCAGGGTTCGTTTGCCGCAGATTATTTTCGCGCAAATTTTTAAGGTCACTTTATGCAAAATTTCATTATTTTAGCCACTTATTCATCATTAGTAATTACATTCATAGATTTGTTGGCATCTAATAGAACTATTTTTAATTCAGTTCATGAACCTCGCCAGCTTACAAATCGAGCACACTTTTTTTTTAACAGGGAATGGATAGCAATGTTTATTAATATTTGCATACACTCGTATAAAACTAACAAAGAAACCCACAAAGCATTTGTCGTGGGATAACGGGGTGTGTGTGTCCATCCCCCAAAATCTCGCTCCGCTCGAGCCTTTACCACAGTGGATGAAACCTGGCGTATTGTTTTTTTAATAAGTTTCCAATAACAAATATTTTTTAATGCTTCGTTATCTAATAATAGTTTTCATCTCATGATCTCGTATACTCATCTAATTTTTTTCTCTAATTGTTCAAGATCGAACGGGACAAACGGATCTCGGCTACGTTTCTTTTTATAATTATCGCTTATATTTTATTTTTTTATGTTATTTCAAAAAGAAATTAATAATTATTAATATTACTAAATCTTTACATATTCTCAAAAAATATATTTCCGGGAATTACAGGACCCCATGCCGATAGAAGCTATGGAATCATTTAGAAAGAAAATTGATCGAAAATTTCATGGTATCCCACTAACAAACCGACCTGAATTAGGTGTTTATGGCTTACTTGAGTTATCACATCAACTAAAAGGAAGAAAGGCCCCATTAATCTACAAGGTCCTCACAACCAAAGAAGCTTCACCCACCATATTATTATGGCGAATAAAAATTCACCAAGCTACTCAAGATATCTTAACTGAAGAATTAGCTCTGCTGCTGTCTGGACTACACCAGATTATTCCCTGGTACGATGTTCTCTTAGGACTACGCATCCCTACACAAACACAACATGCCCGCGACTTTCATGGATATTTAATACATCATGATTGCTTCACTAGAGCTGAAAAATCCATTCTATCTGCCTGGTTTGAATTGACATACCCCCTTCACCCATTAACTCAAACTAACATATTACCCGTTAATGACGATCAACTTGCTCACATACTCAAATCCCCTCAGAAGAAAAAATCAATTTCTTAATCAAAGACATTAATGACGAACAATTAACTAACTGCAATTTTCTTTCCATATCAACCAAGATTATTCTTCACAAAAATGAAATCGATGCTGACCCTCGCCTCAGTTATCAATTTCACTTATTTCCAGAAGACTGGCAAAGATATTGGCGAAAGCAAAAGGATTTGAAATACCAATATCCCGGTAAACTAGAAGAACTTCACCGTGTACATTTAGGACATCGTTCACATCTTGGCTCAATCGCAAGCAACCTCACTATCCGAACCAACATTTAAAACACTGTCTACTTTGCCTCAACACTGACAACATAACTCCCGATTTCCAACATATTTACCAAGACTGGCCTATCACTCGTCAACTTTGGACGCAATATTCCACTGGAACTACACGCTAGCAGCTATTATTGGTCACCATCACCACCCTGATCACGTATATCTCAAAATCGACCGTTTCTTCCAACTTATCACAAAACTATGGTTCCGACGACGATATAGCAAGTCCACACTTCGTCCTGTGACTGAAGAACAGCTTACTTTATTAACTCGGTCTAGCAATTAACATTTAAACATTAGCAAATTTGCGCATTATATACAACATCGCTAAACATTCATCATTTTAAATGAATTCCGATTCTTATGAATCAGGTTTTCTATGTAGTTTTTAAATCTCTATAAGTATTCTACCTTGGTGGGTTGTGCGGGTAACGTCACAGATAGCAATTGCTTAATAATAAAAGAAAAAAAAAATATTACATGTTATTGTCACAGGTTTGACTACATTCACGCTAAATAGCGATGGTCATAACTGCGACATTGCGACACGGATGTCGCAATATTTAAATTTTATGGGGGTTTGTCGTTTAACTTTTTTTTTACAACCAAATTTTTATTTAACCAATTGACGTTTGATATTGGTAGTATCATCTTGTATATATATTGATCGTATAATCTAAAGGGGATGAAGGAAGTATCAATCTCACTGGATTTAGAACATCGACAGCAAGATGAAATTAGTAGTATTGAATCAATCTATGGAGATATCTTTACCAATATTACTCCAAGTGGATTAGTATGGAATAAGAAACCTTCACCTCATTTCCAAATATTATTAACATCCAATGAGAATCCAGATAGACCAGAAGTTTCTATTACTTTAGATATTGAATTTACTCCAACTTATCCTTTATCATCTCCTTTGATTAAATTAATTAATCCAAGTTCAAATTTATTAAAAGTTAATTTATCACAATTAAATTCTAAAATTAAACAATTGATTAAAGAATATCCAGAAGAAGAAGTTTGTTTTACAATCATATCAGAATTGAAATTCATGTTGGATGAAATCCAATCAACTACTGAAAAAGTGCTATCTTTAGAAGAAGAACGTGAACTTCGATTAAAGAATGAAAGAGAAGCATTGGAACAAGAAGAAAAACGCAAGAAACAAGAACAAGAATTAGAAAGAGCCAAAATGAATCAAGAATTAAATGAACAGATCCAAAAGATTCAAGGCGAGTTTTTAGATGAAGAAGAAGATGGGAACCTGCTTTCAGATGAAGACAGAGAACATAATATTGAAATTACTCGTATTGATGACTTGATTCCAGATCAAATAGATGATTATTTCGTATTTGAAAATCCAATTGAAGCAATTGTACCCAATACTAGATTTACAATAAAGTTCAAAGCAGTACTGGGATTCATTAGTTATAAAAGAAGAGGAATATTGACATCAGTTGGGAATCAATATATTGTTAAACCATACCTTGGAAAAGAAATGGCAGCGAAATTTAAAGCAAGAGGAATTGAAGTATCTTATTTACTCACAGCCATTAATTTAAATAATAGACATTGGCAAACAGATAATGGGAAACGAGAGATTCAAGACTTAGAACGAGAATTACAATTAATAATGAGCATAAATGATTCAAATATCTTAAAACTAGTAGGATTCCAAATTGATAAATCAACTGATTGTTGGAAAATAAGATTATTAACTGAGTTTTCATTAGCAGCTGATTCATTATATGAAATTCTCCCAACTGCTGAATTCATTAATTGGGCATTGGCTAGAACTTGGTTAATTCAATTATTACCAGCTCTTGAATACTTACATAATGCTGGATTTGTGCATAAATTATTATGTCCCCTTACAGTCATGGTATTTTCTCATGATGTTAATGCAAATGCTCTGGAACTGAGTATCAATTCTATCAATTCGAATGTTAATCCATTTCCCAAAAAGATATTGAAATTATGTCATCCTTCATATGGATATAGAATATTACAAATGCTTAATATGTATCCTAATAGTGATATAAGTGCTCCACTTGAACCTCATTTTATGCCTGAAGCATGGATAGCTCCAGAATTGAAATCTCCACATTATAACTCACATCATCAAAAAACAGATATTTGGGACTTGGGAGTATTGTTCCTTAGGGTGATGTTAGGATATGATATTCTTAAAACTACATATCCTACCCCCGATTCATTTCTAACCAAATTCTCAGCTAATGAATTCACAGGAGTAGAAGAATATGCCAATTTAGTCTATGACCTATTATCGAAGATGTTACAACCCAAAATTTCCAAACGACCAACTCCACTCGAACTAAATGCCGTGAAATTCCTCCGTGATGGCCCAGTAATCATGAAACTCCAATCTACATCAAGTGCATCCCAGAAAATCAAAGGATCAGAAATCGTATCCCTGGAATCCCAACCAAATCAACCACCCACCACCACCTCCAAGGGCAGTCCTGCTATCAAACATGTTCATATTAAGGACAATAGTCAATTACGTATCGACAGAGCATCTTCATCCTCACCAACACCACTACCACCCGATCGTCGACACACATTCTCACCCACCATGTCAAACCTCTCCCGTCGTCGTCTTTCAAACCAAAACCAATACCTTGGCGAAAACCTGGGGTCGATCTTCTCGTCTCATCTGAGGAGAAATATGGGTCGATATGAACGTGATTTCGAAGAGGTTGGAAAATTGGGAAAAGGGGGTTTTGGAGAAGTTGTAAAAGCCCGAAGCAGGATGGAGGGGACTTTTTATGCTATTAAGAAAATTAAACATCGGGCTGATAAATTGGATTCATTATTGAGTGAGGTGTTGTCATTGGCGAGATTGAATCATCAGTATATTGTGAGATATTATGGGACTTGGGTGGAGGAGATTGAGGATACTATGACAAGTGCGTCTGCTGTGGATTCTGAAGAGGAAGAGAGTAGTGGAGATGAAAGTGGGGATGGAGAGGAAGGGTTTTCGGATAGTTTTGAGACGAAGTTGGGTAGATCGTCTTCGTTTTTGCCAAGTATGGATAATTCATTCCAGGTTGATTATATTTCCAATTCATTTGATCCTAGAATTGAATTTGATGATGAGGATGAAAGTGATGAAGATGGTGATGATCCGTTTGTGTTTGCAAATTCAACTGATGCAGAATCAAATGCGGAAACAACAGATGATGATTATACGTCTTCGACAGCTCTGACTGTATCCAAACGCATGCCAACACAACGTGGTTCTGGAATTATTAAACGAGACCTGCCAAAATCAATACTTTATATCCAGATGGAATTTTGTGAAAATAAAACATTATTAAATCTTATTGAACAAGGACTTCCGGGAAATCCTAATGAATATTGGAGGTTATTCAGACAATTATTGGAAGCTGTTTCATATATCCATCGAGAAGGATTTATTCATCGAGATCTAAAGCCCATCAATATTTTCATTGATAGGGTTAATAATGTAAAAGTTGGAGATTTTGGTTTAGCCAAAAATTCCCAATTTTCATCAGTTGTATCCACCAATAATCAAGTTGCAACCACTCCATCAGTTGCATCACCAACGAAAGATTTATCCACGCTTGTAGGAACATTTTTCTATACTGCCAATGAAGTTGCCACTGGTTCATATGATGAAAAAGTCGATATGTATTCCTTAGGTATAATTTTCTTTGAGATGTGTTATCCATTATCAACCGGAATGGAACGAGTAAGGATATTGAATGATCTCCGATTAAAAACCATTGAATTCCCGCTGAATTTCTCCAAAAACCCAAAATTCAAAACCGAAAAGAAAATCATTAAATTATTATTAGATCATGATCCCAAAGTCCGTCCAGGGGCCAATCAATTATTACAAACGGGTTGGCTACCCGTTGAACATCAGGATCAGGTTATTAAAGAAGCATTGAAATCTTTGGCGGATCCAGCATCTCCATGGCAACAACAAGTGAGGGAAACTTTGTTTAATCAGCCATATCTGTTAGCAAAAGATCTTATGTTTGATTCACTGACGACCAAATCTCAAGCTAATCGGATTGAATCAACTAGTGATTATTTATTGTTTTCGAAATTGATCCAAGAATTATTTAGAATATTTCAGAATCATGGTGCAGTTGAGAATTTTAATACTAATATCATCCTACCCAAAGTCCCATCCCAATCACGAGAATTAGTTTATGAAATCTTAGATAGGAGTGGGTCGGTGCTTACACTCCCATATGATCTTGTATTACCAACTGCGAGATTCTTGAGTCATACACAAGTCACAATCCCCAAGATATTCAGACATGATTTCGTATATAGACCAAATGTCCGTGGAACGGGTATACCTGATCGCTACAGTGCTGTGAATTTTGATATTGTGGGACATAGCAAATCGGAAAGATTAGCGCAAGATGCAGAATGTTTGAAAGTTGTTGATGAAATCATGCAATTGTTTCCATGTTTCCATTCGAAGAATCTGACGGCGATTATTGTGATTAATCATTATGATATTTTGGATGCGGTGATTTCATTTGCATTTGGGAATATTGGGATTGATGAGAAGAAAAAGAGTGATATTTTTGGGGTGTTGTCACAATTAGGGATAGATAAAAGTACCGAAGAGATTAAACGGTATTTAAGAGAGGATTTTAAGGTTCCACATACTGTTATTACTGATTTGATTGATAGTTTTAATTTCACTTGTGAATTAGAAAAAGCCAGACAAAAATTACAAAAATTAATGATTGATTCTCCATATTTGGTAAAAGTAGAACGAGCATTTATTCATCTTCGGGATATGTTTTCAATATTATCGAAATTAGATATCAAGACTCTGATATTATTCAATCCATTAAGTAATTATAATAGTAAATACTATTCCCATGGGATATTATTCCTGGCAGTATTCAAAGTTGACAAATCAAGACGATTTACAAGAATAGCAACTGGAGGGAGATATGATGGTCTAATTGCCTCATTCTCAAACAAAGACCTCATCATGACTTCCAACAAATCAACCACTCCACATGCTGTCGGATTTTCATTAACGACGACATTAATGATGATCTTGATGAAGACACTCATGACCCGGAAACAACAAAAACAACAACAACATCCTGGTTCATCCAATTTATTAAAATGGCATGGAAGTAGAATGGACGTGTTGGTCACCTCGACTCAAGAATCATATATTACCCAAGGAGGATATGAAATATTACGGATGTTATGGTCACATAATATAAAATCAGATATGTTCTATGGCCGTTCCCAAGATGAAATTTCCCATCAGGCATATATTGATGGAGTTACACTCGTGGTGATTATCAAACAATCTCCTTCAACAACTCAGGCAGGGAGAAGTCGGAAAAAATCACAATTCAAACCTATTAAAGTTCGAAATATGATATCTGGTCGAGAATCAGATGTTGATTATGAAGAATTGGTGACATATATCCAGAATGAACTTGAAGAACATCATGGTGGTGATTTAGATATCGATAGTAGTAGCAAGACCGAAGATTTGAATATTGATACCCATACTGCTACAGCAGGTACTTCTGCCCCATTGGAGGATTTATCACCAATATTCTCGATGGATATTTCGCAAAAAGTGATTGTCGTGCCCAATGATGCTCCAAGAGGTCGGAAAGCGGTGAATAAGAGTCAGAAATGGGAAGTGGAGAATGATGCCCAGATTGCTAGTTCACAATGTTTGAAATCAATAGCAGGGGCGCCGGTTATAAGTATAGATGCGAGAGATGAGATCTTGGATATGATAAGTATAACTTCTATTCATCAACAGGATGAATGGGTGAGAAAAGTGGTTTATTCGACAAATAATTTCCCCAAGAGTTTTGCGATGAATATTTTGAATACGTTGGTTAAAGAACATGCAAAGGGGAATAGTTGGGTTATTTTGGTAGCTGCAAAGACCCAACATACAACAATTGTAGATTTGAGAAGATAAGTGGTGCATATATATATTAATTATCATGCAAATATTGTTATAAATAATAATTGATGATTTTCTATATAAAAAAAAACCTAACGAATCTCTCTCTAGTTTGTAACTTTCAATTTCCAATCCCAATATTCTTGTAATCTCATAACGGAATATTCAGCATAATCGAAATCAATAGTTGACAATTCACTTTGAATAACCGCCCAAATCCCCCAATAAAATCCTGGCATTCCATAATACATTCTAATTTCTTCTATTAATTGTTTAACTTGTTCTTCACTAGCATTCATATCATTAAGATATGCCTTAACCCAATTTACAATTGTTGGGTTTGTCATACTAGGATCCGGGATCCGGGATCTATCACATTCAAACCCTTGCCATTCCGCAAGGTGGTTCGCGATATCGAATGCACGTGGAGCAGGAAGCATATATTCATAATCAATGAATTTGATGGGGTTTTCAGAAATGGGAGGTAGGTTCGGGCTGGGGCCAGTTATTCCTGGAAGTGGGTGTTGGGATTCGTCGGGGATGATTACGTTACCTGAAAGTAAATCACAATGAGATGCTACTATTGGAGATTCGACCTTATCTTCAAGATAATGTTTAACCCATTGGATTTCGTCTTTGATTACTTGGCGGAAATTATCAGGGGTGACTGCGATATTCGGGAGATGGGTTTGGAAAGATTGAATTATGTTTGGATTTGTAGTTGGGATGATATCTGTCCAAGTATCTAATAATTCCCAAACATTTGAGATATATTTCTTCTTTCTGCTATTGTTACTCTTTTTAGTTGTACTACTATTTGATCTGGTAAATTTCAATGATCTAATCTTCGAAACTGCAGAATCAATCAATTCAAATTTCAATCGACAATGTAAATTCCCCAATTGTTGTGCAATTAAAGGATATATATTTTGTTGAGTTAATTCTTGTGGTTGTAATGATCTTCCATCAAGATATCCATAAATCATCCCATTTTTAAATCTAGCATAAACAGGGGGAGCCAAATCGATTGAATTCAACATAAGATGAGAAACAAATTCTCGATTTCTATCAATAATCAAATTTGTTCCATGTCCATATACTCTAATCAATACTCTTGAATTGAAATATTTACAAGATAATAACATATTGGTAATTCCTCCGGTTAACTGACTAATTGAAATCTCGTCCTTGTTTGACCAATTTGGAAATACTTGAATTAAAAGTTCCTTTAATTCTTGGAATCCATTGGTTAAATTCTCGGATAAATTAACTGTATGTTTTGGAAGATATAAGGCATTTGATGAATGTGATTCCAGTGGAATAGGAGACGGGCTGGGTGAAGGAGAAGGACTAGCTGATCTGACTGTTGAATTTATATCTCCACTATGAGCCGCACTTATTGACGAAGCCGTCGACGGTGATGATAGGTGGTTGTTATTACTGGAATCAAGTTTAGCAGAATAGGAATCTGGTTCAACATCTGATGCTGATGGGTTATTAAGACTATAAAGAAGATTCTTGTTTTTGAAATGAGATAGGTTTGGAGTTAAATCATTTTCATCTCGTTCTATATTGATGGTGGTGGTATTGATATTGTCTGAAATTATTGGTATGCAATGAAGTTCATGATTATTTATAAAACAATAAGCGGCTAAAGAAGAAGTGAAAGAACCAGAAGTAGTTGAATTATTGGATATTGTTGAGTAATCTCCTTCCATATAAGTGGAATGGACAAATGTCATATTGAAAGTAATAGCGGTAGTAGTAGCACTGCAGTGGGGAGATGTCGTGGGAGGGATACTCAAAGGAGGGGGAGAATGCGCAGTAAATTATAAACAAATGAATGGATTAGTTCTATTGGTTGTAAGCTATACTATCATATAAGAATAGTGTCTTTTTCTCTGTATATATAATATGTATATACTACGTAGAGATAGAGAGTAATAGAAGATACGTGTTGTTTGAAAAAAGGGGTACCCTCTGTACTCAAATCTGATAAAAAAAAAAAATTGTGTTTGTTCAAATTTCTTTTAATTAAAATTTTTTTTTTAAGACTCGTCTGATTCTTATTTATTATTATTATTTTTCACGTGCGAATAAATAAACATTAATTAATTATGCCGCATATGATGCGGCTATTGTAAGTAATATCCTAATGGTTTTAACTTCTCTGTCAAAGCTTCTTTCTATAAATACATCAAAATGCAATGGCTAGATATCTCAAAATATTAGTTGAATAGAATATTACAAAAGAACTTACCAATTGTGTTAGCTTTATGTTTTAGTACCATATTTGACTACTTTGATTTTTTGGATGTTTTTGCACCCAATTTGAATAAAATTCTAGGGTATGTTGTGATTCATACAGTCAACTAAAATGAAACTAATTATTGTAGATTATCAAGTCATTGTATTCTAATATTCTTGAATACCGCTAATATCAATTTAAAAGGAACAATAATATTGATAGTAATTATACTGAACCTGTCAATTACAATTAAATCTGTCAAGATTGAGTTCCAAAAAAAAAATAAACTTTGATTTCTTTTTTTTCTTGGAACTTTCGCTTTCATCAGATTTGCGCTTCTATTTATGTCAAACCCATCAACCCTTCAACAAGAGATACAACTTACTTACAGACAATACCTACTAATTGCTTGTGTTAAGGAAGACACACTATGAGCACTAAACATAGTATCTGGCCCAAAAAACAACCAATCAAAAAGCTCACAAACCGGACAACTTCATCATCACCTATAAATGACACCCATCCAATTCGAATAGCATTTCTAGGAGGGGCCAAAACAGGGAAAACAACACTTGTCACAAACATTGCTACTAATAGAATCCCAGATACATATTATCCCACCACTAGAGTGACTCCCATCTTATTCACCTATCAACCTTCAGACATCTCCACCAAAATCCTCCTCGGACTGAAGAAATATAATTCCGAGCCCATCTCATTTCCAACCATGCTATCAATTCCAAAGAATCCATATTATAGGGCCGACAAGCACAGCGGGAAGGTATCTCCCATAGCGGTCGAAATTATCGATACACCAGCATATAATCCCCATTCTACCGTTCCATTCTTAGAACAATCGATTCATGTTGATCTTGGACCCGAATATCTCCATAATCTAGCCACTCATTTCCCGAGAAAACCAGTACTGACATGTCCATTACTTGTAGCTAGTGGTGCTAGTGAGATGAATGGGGATGTGGATGGATATATTCTATTTTATGATGCTGTGCCGACATATTGTCCTCCGAAATATGGCGAGGATATCATAGCGCCAGGTGATGATGATACGGGATTGGATAGCCGGCATTCGTTTAGTTTGTTAAAGCCGATATTGGAGGGGTTGGAGGATGCATGGAAGTCATATTTGGAATATAAAGCAGGGTGGATAAAGGGGAAAGAAAAAGATGTGTATGATTTTAAAGTCGCATTAAAGAGTATATGGAAACAAGAGAATGAGAATTTTAATGAGAAGGATGTGACAATAGGGCCACCTCCTATTTGGATCGTATGTACCAAGGTGGACCATCCTCTTGCTTCGCCTAAATTGGTGGAGATGGGTCAGAAATTGAGTAGGGAATGGAATTGTGGATTTTTGGCATTGGATTTGAATGAATCCGATGTTCCTTTAGCTTTGATAATTAGGCATATTATAGAAAGAAGGTATAGATAGATATAGACATAGTATATATATTAATGAAATGAACGCGCTTTTTAATGAAACTCCACTTCTACAATGCAAGAACCTAGGCCTTTTCATGAAGCCTTACGCTAAAAAATCTTAGCAGAAGTTATGATGAAGGGAACTGAATCTCAATAGGACTATATGTACCTTCCCCTTTTCCTCTGAAAGTAATTTTGCAAATGTGAATGGAATGTGTCCATGGTCTGGGGAGGTGTGATTTCCATATTGTCACGTGATCCCATACTTAAAAAAATTTCAAGTGCAAACTTGAATCAAAGTAACAACAACAACAACAGATCAACCACACTAATCAAAGACGCGTATATAACCAAAGCAATAATGTATGGAGACACTGCTAATAAGCTTATACTAGATGCCAAAAGATCAGCCAACTTATCAGAAATCCCATTATATCAATCCAATTTAATCAATCTTATAATCAAAGAAACCAACGAATTAAATAAAGATGCTCAATATTTGGCAGAACTTCATCAACTAAAACAAGAAGAAAATTCAGAAGAATTAACTGAAGAAGATGAGAAGATTAGTCAATGTCAAGAATTCGTAACTCATTTATCTATGAGGCGGAATAAAAGATGTTTATTGGCATATGAGAAATTAAGAGCTGATAAATTGGTTGAATTTACTTGGTTGAATATTGATCCTATATCTGAATCAGATGAGAGTAATGCAACGACGGGCACCGCTGCAGGAACTAGCACTAGTGGTGGCGGTAATAGTAAGACACAGAATATACCGTATTCTGACAGTATTTATAATAACTATACTACAAAAGTGGCATTGGATAATCTAAGTCATGCAGAACAAGATTTCCTTAAGAATTATCAAGATTTATTAGTGGATTATAAATCAAACTTTCCTGATATCGATCTTTCCGGAGATTTAGAACCTCCAACGAATATATTCATCGATGTTAGGGTGCTTAAGGATGGTGGAGAGGTTCAGACTGAGTATGGGTGTTTTAATTTGATTAAAGATTCTCAGTTCTATGTGAGGAAGTCTGATGTTGAACGATTGATCCAACAAGGCTATTTAGAAGAGATATAATGTGTGTAGTATTATAGTGTATATATATTTATGTATTGGGTCTAATTATACTTCTTCAAATAGGGCATCATCATTGTCGTCATCTTCATCTCTTGATTTTAGTTTATCAATTACATTACTATCATCTTCGGGTGTGTTTAATTTATCAATGACATTATTATCATCATCACTTGTTCCTATCTCTGGTTGTTGTACTGATAATTCTTGTGTTTGTAATTCTTCTGGAATACCCATCTCTATATCCTCATGCGGCACAACACGTTCTTCCTCCTTCTGTTGAAGTTCTATGTTATCATCAAGTGGATGTTCATGAGGAGGCATACCCTTCTCCAACAACTTATCTAATTCTTTAACTTCTTCATTCAATCGTTTATAACCAAGTTGAGTATTCTTTTGATCAACACTTATGGGTAAAATCATCACACCATCGGCATTCTTGTCATATACTCCAATATTATCATCCATTATCTTCACTTCCTTACGTAAATCAATGGCGATCTTACTTAGTGTCTCATATATGGTTTCTACTTGTTCTGGGAATTGAGTTTTAACTGATGTCGGTGAAGTATGATAGGTTTCAAATACCAGGGAAAGATTGTCCAAAAGTGAGACAATATTGCTGTCGATGGCATAGAGTGCATCTAGACGTGATTGAATGAAGTTATCTGCTTTATCTTCGAGTGACATGTTTTCTTGATTTGTTTCTATAATTGTTGCCTGTCCTTCCTCCTGTTCATAAACAAATGCCTTAAGGTCCCGCAATCTTGTTGCCCCCATTTTTTTTTTCACTGACCATCCACAACTTCTCCCCAAGCCAAGAAAGACCACGATTCAGAACTCAATCACAATGCCAATTGATCTCGGTCTAAGCAGAGTCACCCAACTCCTCAAACACCTCTCCAACCCTCACCACTCCACCTACAAATCCATTCATGTATCAGGTACGAATGGCAAAGGATCAGTCCTCGCGTATCTTTCATCCATCCTAACCTCATCCATGATTCAAACCGGGAAATTCACTTCACCACACATGATATCATATAATGATTGCATACTGATCAATAATCGGACCTATCCTATGTCCAAATTTCAAAAAGTGATGAATGAAGTTATGGGAATAGATAAAGAATTAGGATTAAGATGTACTGAATTTGAAATCTTGACGGTGGCTGCGTATAAGATATTTGAGATTGAGAAGGTTGATATTGCGTTGATTGAAGTTGGTGTGGGTGGGAGATTGGATGCTACTAATGTGTTAATGCCGTATGATGGTAGTAGTAGTGGTGGGGTGATTGCGTGTGGTATAACTAAGATTGGAATGGATCATGAACTGTTATTAGGATCGACATTGAGTCAGATTGCAAGAGAGAAAGCTGGGATTATGAAGACAGGCATTCCTTGTTTTGTTGATGGACTGAATGAACAAGAAGTATTGAATACTATACGGACAGTTGGGAACGAAGTTGGAAGTAATGTAACCATTATCAACCCCACGGCACAAGCAAAAGAATTAATCCAATATAGTCCCCTCAAGGGATCATACCAACTTCACAACCTTTCACTCGCCTTACTGATCCTAAACTCGATCCAACAATCCAAGCATCTCCCCACTATCATCTCCAAAGAAAACATAATCCACGGCATCCGGGAAACAAAATGGCCAGGAAGATTGCAAACGGTCCATCATCCAACATTGGCAGATATACTCATAGACGGAGCCCATAATGAAAGTGCCGCCATTGAACTCAAGAAATTCTTGAATGAGACATATCCCGACAACAAAAATATCATATTCGTAATTGCGATAACCAAAGGTAAATCAGTCGAGAAATTGCTTAAACAAATTGCTTCTAGACAGGATACGGTCATAACCACTTCTTTCTCCCAGCCCGATAATATGCCCTGGATCAAACTGGAACTGACGAAGAAAGTTGCGGATGTGGCTCGTGGGATATGTGAGGATGTTGTTGAAGTTGAAGATGGTGTTGTAGAGGCGTTGGAATATGTGCAGAAGGAGTATAGAAATAAAAGAGGTGATTCGAGGCCGGTGGTTGTTTGTGGGAGTCTATATCTCTGTGCTGATGTGTTAAGGGCATTCCTGGAGAAACATGATTAGTTAGTTGGATAAATATTTATAATATTGAAACCTTCAATAGTAATTTTCTTTCATACTGGCAGAAATTTACAAACATTAGTCTAAAATTATTAGTAAAATATAATAGTAGACTATTCTACGTACTTCTATTTACATTACCAACTATTTAAAGTGGTAGTTGAAGTTCCGAATCAAACTCGAACGTTATAGGCATCATCACTGGTTGTCACGTGACCATTTCAAAGAGACGCGTAATCATTTTTTAATTTTATTTCTGGATGGTCATTTTTCATCAGATAACCAACCCCTACTTCTTCAACAAACACAACATGGTACTATCCGAATTCGAAAGACAAAGACAGGAGAATATCCAACGTAACAAACAACTTCTCCAACAACTCAGTCTTGACGCCATCTCTTCCTCCATTGCTCGTGAAGCAAGTCCATCCACCACCAAGACCAAAAAGACAACCAAACCCGCGTCATCTAAAAAGCGTAAAACCGAAACTAGAGTCAAAAAAGAAAGCAGTGCTGAGCCAACTCGTAGATCGAGAAGATTGGCGGGTATAAAGACCGAATCGGAGAATCCGGAGGAATATGCCAGGATTAGAGATGAGGAAGAGGCTAAAGAACGGAAGAAGAGGGAGATTGAACGATTGAAGAGAACGAAATTGTTTGGGGAATTTAAATTGATGGATTTGGTAACTGATAAAAAGCTGGGTGAATTAGTGAATGAAGAAAAAGTAATTGGTTCCGTAAGTTCCAATGGGGTGAAAAAGGAAGTAGAAGATGAAGACATGGACAATGCTAAACGAACCCTTGAATTGATTCAATCATTAGGTGATAAATTCTCAGCTGGGGATTTTTATGAAGTTATTAGAAATAGTGAAAAACTGGCCAACGTTTCGCTTGAATCCAAACGTAAAGAATTCGACTCGTTACATATCTATGAAAAGCATGATCCATTAGATATCAAAATCTCCCATTCCAGAATCACAGCGATCCATATGCATCCATCCCAAGATAATAGACTCATCCTCGCCGGTGATACTATGGGAAATGTAGGTCTCTGGGCCGTCGACTCCACCACAAATGAGGAAGAGCCCGAACCAGCTATCACAATCTTACATCCTCATGGAAGAAACATATCCAAGATCATAACCCCAACCTATGCCCCTCTGAAAATATACACAGCTTCATATGATGGAAGTGTCCGTTCTTTGGATTTACATAAATTGGAATCTACTGAATTGGCCTATTTGAATGATCCATATGAATCCTCATCGAATTATTTCTTGGGTGTATCCGATATAAACCAATGTATGGAAGGGAATCCGAATGTGATATATATGACTACACTTGAAGGACACTTTTATCAATATGATACCAGGGAGCCATTTGTTGGAATTAAGAGGAAAGATTTATTGCGTCTTCATGATAAGAAAATTGGTGGGTTTACTATCAATCCCACTATGTCCACTCAGATCGCTACTGCTTCTTTGGATCGTAGTTTGAGGATTTGGGATCTTAGAAATATTGGAAAGTCGAGTTGGTCGGAGTATGAACATCAGAAATCTCCACATATGTATGGAAGCTATTCTTCGAGACTTTCGGTTTCTTGTGTGGATTGGAATAGGGAGAATAGATTGGTGTGTAATGGATATGATGACAATATTTGTTTGTTTGACTATAGTGGTGGGGAAGATACTGGATTATCTGTGATTACTGAATGGGGATCAGATTATGTCCCACATCAATCAAGAAAGAGAAAGGCAGCAGGAGGAGAAGAACAAGATCTTATTCCTGATAATTTGAAACCATTTAATAAAATCAGACATAATTGTCAAACAGGACGTTGGGTTTCGATTTTGAAATCAAAATGGCAACAAGATCCCCAAGATGGTATGCAGAAGTTTGTGATTGCAAACATGAACCGTGGTTTGGACATCTATGATCAACAAGGAAACATATTGGCTCATTTGAATGAAAAAGTGGGTGCTGTCCCTGCGGTTGCAACTATGCATCCAACTCAAAATTGGGTTGTTGGAGGTAGTGCAAGTGGTAAAGTCTACTTCTTTAAATAGTTAGAGTTTGTATAAATATGTTTAACTAAAATACAATAATGCATTAATAAATCCACCTAATAAAAAAAACATAACTAAGAATAAAAAACTATACCTTTATTTCTGTGTTTTGTTTAAGCAGATGGAGTCATAACTTGCCAGACTCTGATGACGTTATCAGTGTAACCAGCGAATAAGTTTTGACCATCAGCAGACCAAGCTAAAGAGATAGCTTCTGGGTCCTTAGCGTTAGCACCAATGGCGAATTCTGGTTTTAATTCATCTAATAAAGATCTTTCTTGTAATTTGAAGATCTTAATACCAGAAGTAGTAGCAGCAGCTAACCAGTATCTGTTTGGAGAGAAAGCTAAAGCATGGACTTCAGCCTTGGCATCTAAGGTGTAAAGGGTCTTGTTTGAGTTTAAGTCCCATAAGATGATAACACCATCCTTACCAGCGGAAGCACATAATGATCCATCTGGGGATAAGGTGATACATGAAATGTAACCGGTGTGACCGATGAAATCAGCGTTGACGGAGTAGTCAGTTAAGTCCCAGGACTAAAGAAGATAAAATGTTAGTAAAAAAAGATAATTTCAATATCATTCGATTGACTCTTGTCTCTTCTCTTTCTTTCATATCAGAGATCTTGGTGATAAATATAATGTCTCATTGAAAGCTGGCGAGCCTCCTCTGAAGTAGCAAATATATATAAAAATCATCACCTGAAAAAAGGAGAAGCCAATATCAATTTGGTTGGAAGTAAAATAAAACATACCTTAACAGTCTTATCCCAAGAAGCGGAGATAACGGTGGAGGAGTTGTCAGATGGGGAGATTCTGACAGCAGAAACCCAATCATTGTGACCGGTTAAAGTGGCCATACATTCACCAATGGTGTTCCAGACCTTAACAGTCTTATCACGAGAAGAAGAAACAATTTGTCTCAAGTTCTTAGCAATAGAAACGGATAAAACATCACCAGTGTGACCAACGAATCTTTGAGTGGTCTTACCGGTTTCTAAATCCCATAATCTTAAAGTCTTATCCCAAGAAGCAGATAAAGCGTAAGCACCATCAGCAGAGATGGTAACATCTTGGACAATGTGGGAGTGACCCTTGAAAGATCTCTTTGGGACACCATATTGGTTGTCTTCACCACCAGTTAATTTCCAGGTGATTAAAGTTTTATCTCTAGAACCAGATAATAATAAATCTGGGTGAGCTGGGGTGGTGGCAAGGGAAGTAACCCAACCGTTGTGACCTTCTAAGGTACCTCTTAAAACTAAAACTTCTTGATCAGCCATTGTGTTTGTGAATTGAAATGTGTTCTTGGTAGAAAAGGGAAGAGAAAGACTTTTGAAAGGGTTTTTCAAAATTGGATGAAAGTGAAAAATTTTTATAGTTGGTAGAGCCAAAGCCAAAAAAAAAAAAGATTTCAAACTTGTTCACGTGATCACATCGTAGGAGAAGACATCAACGTGTAGATTTTCTGTACTGACATTTACACGCTCATCGTGCTCGGAAATACTCATCAAAAAGTGACTGCTTTTTAGCCGAGTTATATGCAGGTGAGTGGTCATGTGATCTGTATCATGTGATTAGATCTATTTTTAGTCTCGTGACGTAATGTGTTCCCAAATTCACCAGCCACTGTACAGTCTGAAATTGCAACGCAATATCAATTACAACCACATTCTCTGTCTCCCATTCATAAGATTCTACTTACTATGTCCACAAATGGGAAAATTACAATTATAAGTGGAGGTACAGCCACCAATGAGCTTGTTCCATTATTCAACAAATTATCATCCAATGTAAGTTATATTCTTCCAATCTCGGATAATGGTGGTTCTACTTCCGAGATCATTCGTTTTATAGGCGGTCCAGCTATTGGAGATATCAGATCTCGCTTAACTCGATTAATCCCTGATCATCAAGAATCATTACGGAAATTATTAAGTTTTAGACTTTCGTCGAATCCACAAGTAGCTAAGAATCAATGGTATGATATAGTAGATGGATCCCATGAATTATGGACAAGTATTAATCCTGCTACTCGAGAAATATTCCGGGCATTCTTTGTTCATTTACATGTTGAATTATTGAAAAGATCAAAATATGGTTCATCAAAGAAACAATTTCGATATGAATTGGCAAATGTTGGTAATTTGTTTTTAACGGGTGCAAGATTATTTATTGGATCACTTGATTCAGCAATTGAATTATTTTGTAGATTGACGGAAATAAATTCACAAACTGAAGTATTACCTTGTATAAATACAAACTTCACCTATCATATAAGTGCATTACTTGAGAATGGATTAATCATAACGGGACAATCCCAAATTTCTCATCCTTCAGAAACTCATCACCCTAGAAATAAGGCGGTTGATTCCAGTTATCCTCCACCAATTGCTCATACTCGTCCTTCAACACCCACAGATCATATGCGACGCACAAGCTATTTCGGTACTCCTTCAATAGACGGAGGGTTCTCGTTGGATATCCCCATAAATGAAGTCGCAATGGAGCAAGCCAAACATATAGAATCTTACGCTTCTAGTGATGATGATGATGCGGAAGAATCGGGTAATGTCCCTCAATATACTCATCCTGAATTAAAGAAATCTCAATTGCATTTTAATAAATCAGAAAATATCGAACCTTTATTATCACCTATTAAACGAATATTTTATATTTCTCCATATGGAGAAGAAATATGTCCTATTGCTCATGCAAAAGTGGTTTCGACAATAAGTAGTACTGAAACTTTGATATATTCAATTGGATCACTTATGACTAGTATTGTTCCCGTAATTATTCTCAGAGGGATTGGAAGAGCCATTGCAATGGATAGTGCAACACAAAAGAAGAAAAGAATCTTGTTGTTGAATGGATGTCTTGATAGAGAAACTTTTGGGATGAAGGCGGTTGATTTCGTTAGAGTGATTGTACAGCTGGCTATATATTCACAAGATAGTTCTAAAAAAGATGCAATGGTTGATGATCTAGATTGGGATAAATATATCACTCATTTAGTATTCATGAATGAACCTAAACTTGAAGTTGACATAAATTTCTTGGCTCAAAGGGGAATAAAATGTATAGAAGTTAAAAAGTTGGTTGGTACTGATTATTTTGATCTTGATGATTTGTATTATGTATTAAAAGGAGTTATATCTATGTAGATTCGTTTAATCATACCAGATTTTGATCAATTCTTCACTGACTGCAGAAGGAGTCAATACCCCTAAATCAGTAATCAATGCTGTGATATAGGTATGAGGAGTAAAATCAACGAAATGGGTATCCAAGAACTGATTATCTTCTTCACCGGTAGTACTAGCTTCAGAATCGTCATTAGCTCTAGCAATAAGATGATTCATCTTGTTAGGTAAATCATCAGGTGCTAATGGGAACAATCTCACGAATTTATGTGATTCAGTAACCACATAGAATGGTTTATTATTCACTTTAGCCAAACAACCTATTTGATAAGAACCAATATGATTTATTATCCCACCACTTTCAGCCACCCCTTCAGCTCCAACTAAGATTTTATCAACTTTATGAATCACGTATCCGACAGCATTATCCACAATCACATCTACTGGAATATCAGCTTCTCTTAATCTCTTGGCCATAAAATATCCACTGCCAGTTGGTCTAGATTCGGTGACTAATACTTTAAATCTTGTATGTTGTTCCTTTTTAGCTTTTAATAATAAATTATAAACAACACGAGAATAAGAATGGACCAAAATAGTATCATCATCTTTTATAAATGATACACCAAATTCAGCCAGTTTATCTCTTGATTCTTTTGCTCTTTGAACAAATAATTCTCCATTTTCAACCAAGTTTTTACTAAAACTTTCCCAATCAGAATATAAATTTGTATTTCTTAATACAAATCTCATGAATAAATCACAACCAGCTGACAAGGAGATATTATTAGGGATTGAGTTTTTCAAAGTATCAATATTCTTGGATACTAAATTAATTAATTCTGATGATGTTGATGGTTTTTGAATTCTTAACATTGATACTAATGATTCAATTGCCGCTATTGGCATTGTCATGTCTTTGTCTTCTTCTAGAAACTTAAGATATGTCGTTGTTATGTCGAATGTCTCTGCCATGTTTGCTTTGCTCTATCGTATTGAATGATGGTGATGATGAAGAAGAAGTGATGAAGTGATCAAACCTACTATAGAAATAGAATTTTCAAAATGAGTAAATTCCGGTACAAGTAATCACGTGACAAATGATTTCCCTTCCCCTCGTAAATAATTGTGATGATGAAAAATTTAGGTAGCATCCACAAGTTATACCCAAAGTCATAGAACACATACCAACAGGCTATATATATTAGATCTAATATCAAACTATGACTAGTGGGAATCTGTTATTTGTAGAAGACGATGAGGATATGAGATCCGAATCTGAAGAAGTTTTACTGAGATATCAACCATCAACAGCTGTCATCAAAGAAGAAGATGAAGAATCCACTACCCAAGAATCACAAGAAGAAGGGGATGATGATCCAGTTATAGAATCCATACCATTATTCCTAAACACCGTCCCCAGCAGACAGAAAAATTCCTTACACGTTTTACAATTTCCCGGCAGACCCAAAACTCGAACATTACAACAAGGTTCCTATCATGCCTCGATAAAACCCCAATCCCAATATCTTGAAATAAAAGTCCCTTTGGACACTTCTAAATTCTTCGATGTTAACAAAGTAGAAGAATGGGGCAATGAGATTGGAGAACAAGGAATCCAAGGTGTGTTGGATAAATCAGATGGTGGATGTTATGCAGCAAAAATAGTCAATGATGACAACCAAAGAAAAATCGTGCTTATTCCAATAGATAGTACTGCTCAATTAAGAACCTCGTTTCAATATATAGATGCCATTGATAATAATGCGCAATTACAGAGGAAACAAGAAGCGGCGGCTGCTGCTGCCGCAGCTTCAGGACAAGAGAATGCCAAACCGGCAAATGTCCAGATTTTACAAACTGCGGCTAAGATTGGTAATAATGATGGGTTTTCTCATTCATTGGGAGAATCACTTAGACATGTTAAGAAGTTTGACGAAGAGAATTGGGATAATTTGGTATGGAAGAATGATGAAGATGGGGTGACTAAGGAATTGAAAAAGGAGTTGATTAATGGTGCGGATGGAATTGAATTGACAACAGAAACGAAGTTTGATGATTATATTCAAGATTTAATTGGTATATAAACAACTGTATAGTAATAACATAATAGCATTTACCTAGTTAGTACATAAACTCATCTCTTTTGATAGTGGGCATCGTGCGGCTCATATCAAATATCTGATGCACTAAGAAAAAATACTTCTCTTAGTTTTCAAAAATACTTTTAACACTATTTCTTCCTCTTCAATCAAAGAAGTAAATATCAAAGATGGACGACGACGACGGGCTTTTGCTTAATTTCGCTACTCCAGACACATCAGTCTCATCAGCTTCAACATCTTCCTCCAAAGCAAATTCAAAAGTCACTGGTGGAAAATGGAAAGATCGTCGTAAACTTCAATTAGCACTTCAAGGAAGAACTCCCAAGAAAATAATTGAACCTTCTGGAGTTAATAACATTCATATAGATAAATCCCGAATCGAACAAATAAGAAGACAAAAACAATCAGATAGTCAAACTAAACGTTCTCCACAGGTACCACATCTTGGTCCACTGTCCAAAAGAGTTAAATTCTCCGAAACAAAGGGAGAACATGGCGGAAAGGATAATTCATACGTTTCATCATTATTCACCTCCAACGAACCCAGTTCAACCCTTACCCCAACCACCACCACCGATGATGGCACCGCTACTTCCACCCCATCCAATGCTCCATTATTAGATGCAACAACCTTCGAAGGACTCGGATTGAACGAAAAGTTAACTCATCACTTAACATCCAACCTTCGATTCAAAACCCCAACAAAGATCCAACGATTAGTCATCCCCCGCCTCATGTCCCAATCCTCCGATCTATTCGTCAAAGCCCAAACCGGATCCGGTAAGACCCTTTCATTCCTCCTTCCCATCTATCACGCCCTCATGACCCAATCCCCCGAGATCGAACGTACCAGTGGTGTATTCGCCATCATCTTAGCACCGACTCGTGAATTAGCAACCCAGATTCATGGCGTTTGTGAAACCTTGAGTCGAACCTATGTGAAAATCGTGCCTGGGATTGTGATTGGTGGTGAGAAGAAAAAATCGGAAAAGGCGAGATTAAGAAAAGGGGTGAATATTTTAGTGGGGACTCCTGGGAGATTGGCTGATCATTTTGAGAATACCAAGACGTTGGATTTAGGTGAGGTTAGATATTTGGTTTTAGATGAGGGTGATAAATTGATGGAATTGGGTTTCGAGCAGACGATTACCGAGATTACGGATAAGATATCCCAGGGGTCTAAGATTAGGGTGAGTGGGAATAAATGGCCGACATTACCTAAGAAGAGGATTAATGTGTTGTGTTCGGCGACTATTCAGAATAATGTCAAGAAATTGGGAAGTATTTTATTGGATAATCCGGAGATGATCACTGTTGATACGTCACATGTGATTGAATTTGATGAACGGGATGAAACTACCGCTCCTGATCAATTGATGCAAAATGTGGTGGTGGTGCCGCCAAAATTAAGATTGGTCACTCTTGCTTCCATATTAAAGAACATCACCAAATCAACTCCAACTAGTTCTTCGAGAACAATTGTGTTTTTTTCATGTTCAGATTCGGTGAATTTCCATTTCGACGTGTTTACGAGATCTGGATCCCGGTTCAAAAAAATCAAAAATCAAGAAACTGGCGAAATCACCACCGTCCTCGTCCCAATCGATTCCGATAACGATGCCGACGACGACTCTGACCCAGTTGAAGAATCAACAATCATAACCGCACCATTATTATCCCCCTCCACGACAATTTATAAACTCCATGGATCCCTTTCTCAACAACTCCGTACAACCACCCTTCAATCCTTCACCAAAGATTCCTCATCCCATCAGATCTTATTCTGTACAGATGTGGCATCTAGAGGGTTGGATTTACCCAATATTTCCCGAGTGATTGAATATGACCCACCATTTAGTGTTGATGATCATTTGCATAGAATTGGTCGTTCGGCAAGATTGGGACAACTGGGGGAGGCGACTTTGTTTTTATTACCCGGAGTGGAGGAAGGGTATGTGGATGGGAAATTGAGGGTTGTACATCCGAAAGAAGGTAATTTGAAGGTGTTGAATTATGAAAAGATCTTAGCTCAAGGATTTGCCGAGGAAAAAGAGGGGGAAGATGGGAGTGAGAAGAAGCAGAAGGATGATCCGAAGAGAAAGACGGGGAAATGGGATATTCATGCTACTACGTTCCATTTGGATATCGAGAGATGGTTATTAGAATCGACATCAATGCATGAGAAGGCGGTGCAGGCGTTTACGTCACATATTAGAGCGTATGCTACTCATTTATCTTCCGAAAGAACGTTTTTCAATGTTAAGTTGTTACACTTAGGTCATTTGGCTAAAAGTTTTGGATTAAGAGAGACCCCCAAAAAATTGGGGAAATCAATGGGGGCAATTACTGAGAGTAGGAAAGTAAAGAAGGAAGATCCAAAGAAGAAAATGATGAGAATGGCTAAAATGGCCGTAAAATCAAACAGTAGTGAATTTAACTATTAACCCATAAATACATATATAATACATAAACAGATATCTTTTTAGTAATCCTCCTCTTCATTGTTGTAATGAGCATTTCTAAACCCTTGTTCTTTCCAAAGTCCATGATTCTCACCAATGACATACCCAATGGTTCTCTCTCTATAAAACTTCCCATTCAATTTCAAATTCTCAATCAAATCATCCATTAATATCGCTTTTCCTATTGCAATCCCATCTCCCAAACCCGGATGATGGATATTGACCACATGGATATGAAAATGATAATAACTAGGTTGGTAATGCACAAACACCCTCACCTGATCCCCCGACATCTCATATTTCTCCCTCACGACCTTCTTAATCATCCTTTGGATCCCAATTAAGAACTCGATATGAGTTTCATCTAGGTCCCTAATTGAGGAAATATCAGTTCGATTCACAATTGCACAGAGGTAGAGGGTGTCCAAATTGACATTATCCCATTTCATATCCGGTAATAAGACAAACCCAAGCAAGGGGTCTTTGTTGTGATATATGACCGATTCCAGCTCCGCATTGTGGAATAAGATATTATATACCCATTTTAGTCTATCTCCTTTCATAGTCTCAATGTAGGGTTTTACGAATTGATCATACATTGATTTTGTTTCTTTTATATAGTGAAGTTTTTGGGTGGAATATTTTTCGATATGTGTTTCGGTGGCTGGATAGATTAGGTTTAATTTTGCGGCTGGGTTATTGGGGAGAGATTGGATGAGGGTGGTGGATGACCAATAATAGATGTCATTGGTGTTGATTAGGAGGAGGTCATCTATGAGGTTGTCAAAGGGGGTGGTGGAATTGGTGGAAGTGGTGGGGAAGGGTGATTTTTCGAGGGAGATTATGGCGGGGGAGTTGTTGATTGTGCCTAGGAGATGGATTGTTTTCGTTTGAGAATCTGATTTAAGGATTCTTTGAAATTGGAATTGACCAATTAGTTCTTTGAGGGACGTGGACATTTGTTGAGTGGGTGGTTGATGGGTGGGTAGGTATTGATTACGTGGAATGGCTGGAGATGAGATGATGAAAAAAAATTGTTTACATTTGAGGAATTGATTTGTTTGTATGAATCGGTAAACTTTGGCTGCAAAAAAAAAAACCTTATAAACCCACTCATCCAATTTCTTTTCTTGAATTAATTATTCAATTTACATACTCTAATGTATGTATACATTGTAGGTTGTAGTTGCTTTTCCAAAAGAGCATTAACATATTCTATTCTAAGGGGGAGGAGGAAGAACCCCTGTCTGTAAAACAATAATTTAAGAGTCAATTCTCGTATAATATTATAAACAACTTTCTAATTGGGAATGTTCTAGAAATAAGTAAGTAATTGCCATGGTAGTGTAAAGCTTATTACACACAGCAGCAGTTTAACCGCCAATTGAATATCCCTTAGTGTCTGTTATTATAGTATTAAATATGTGTGTTTAATTTGTTCTTATTTACCTACAAATAAAGATTCCTTTCTCTAAATGACAACAAAATAAACAAGCAAATGGATTGTATCGCCTCTCTGTACAGCGAAGTATATGTTTAATAGAATCACCACCAACAGAATTCGTTGTTTGCGTGCTTCCATTTCTAAACAATAATGGTATAGCAGAATTATGAAAATTTGGTTGCAAATTAGCAATGTCTTTGTCAATTAGAAGTAGAAATAGATAGATAGGGGATAAGGAGTGTATACGTGTATTGAAACAATAAATGACAACTATTCCCCTCATTGATGCTTGATAATGGTGTGTACATTGTTGCTGTTTGTAGATATCTCCTCGCGGTTAACGTATAAATACTTAGAAGAACTAGTAAATTACTCTATTAGCTTGATAAAACACTTTCATCCTAATTATATGCTAACTCATTAAGTGAATCAACTCAATATGTCACCAGCAAGAATCCATGTTGGAGATGTTACCTACTTTACTAAACAGGAAATAATTGCCATGTTTAGGGCTCGTATGCCCAATGTCTCATGGTCACAACAAAATCGTACCGGTATTACGAGAGCGGCAAGACGACGGGCCATCATTACCAAGATTAACTTGATTCTTGACTCGGAAGATTATGAACAAGGTATAGCTGATGGTGAATATATCCTAGAGGCTCTTCAAGAAATTTGGATGCAATGCGACATGAAGAGATAAATGACTCTGAAGAAGGTCAGTTGAAATAGATACTAAATAAGTACCCATTTCATATTAATTATTATATTATATATACAATCCTATAAAGAAGAGAAGAAAAGGGCAGGTCTAGGTAGATTCACTATTATTCAAAGTTTCAGAATCCTCACTACTACCACTAGTATCCCCTTCCTCTTCACTATCGTCTTCTTCGTTGCCTTCCCCCTCTTCATCCAGCAGTTCTTCCTCCTCTTCATTCAAATCAATACAAATCCAACTAGGCCAAGCAATCTCATCCCTAATCAAATTCCTCAATTGTTCAATCAAGAACTTCTCCACTTTTCCAACATTTCTTAATACATTATTCTCAACCTCACCAATCTCACTCTCAATTCTGATCTTCTTAATAATATCTATCCTCTCCTTAATAGAATCACCTCCCGCACCGCCTGCCGCACCACCACCACTATAATAATCCACGAAATTCCCGCCTGAATTCACATTCGATAAGGGTGTACTCTTTGGAATTGGTTGATGGCTGAAATAATCTGAACTTTCATCAGTTATATCACAAAGAAAACTCAAATAGATTGATTTTTTCAAATATGCAATAGTAGCAATTGAATGGATTACTATATCGGTGATATGAAGTTTTATTGGCAAGGATATGAAATTTGGTGAAGGATAATTTACTAATAGATTCACTATTAGATTTATATGTAGATTTCCTTTATAGTTTATTTCCACGATTAATTGAATATCATTCTCATCTTGAAGGGATTTCCGTTTTGATGTAATTTTGGGAAGTGATGGAAGTCGGTAGTTTTGGTTTAGGATTGTGGTTGGGGTATCTGAACCGGTTTTTGTCGTTGGTGCCCCAATTCCAATTATAGTATTTACTCCTAATGGAGGATGTAACATTGATAATGAATCTCGTGATCGATTGTTTGTGGAATTGGGAGTAGCTGATGATGTTGCAGTTGTTGATGATTGTTTACTTGGGGTGGTGGTTGGCATGGCTGTGGATGTTAATGGTTGATTGAAGTTGAATATACCCATACGTTCTGTAATTGATGCTAATCCATTCACATAATCATCATCATCGACATTATCTTCCTCGTTATCTTCATCTTCATTATATGAGCAGTGGTCGTCTTCGTCTGTGGGTTGTGGTGGTTGTTGCTGTTGCTGCTGTTGTGGTGGAATAGGAGGTGTTGGTAGTTCCTGTTCTTCAGTATAAAACTCATCAAATGGATCTCCTATATGTCTTATAGTTAAATCTGGTGGTATATCACCTAAATGAAAATCAGTTACTGATAAATTTGATATATAATTTGGTAATTTAATTTTTTGAAATTGCTTATCTAAAAATAATTGAATTGCTTTATTAATTGAATCATCTTCAATTAATTTATTCCAATTAATATCAAATGACATTTTACCTTTGACTTAACTCTCCTTCTCTCTCTCTTGTACTTCGGTTAGATGTTAATAAATTGATTTGTAGTTTTGAATCATTCAATTGAATCATCAGAAAAAAATATTAAATTATTAATTGCAAAAAGAAAAAGTATGAAAGTGTTTACTTAAAGAGAGTACTCACATCCTCAAGATAATCCAAAGTTATAAACTGAACATGAACAGTACCTTACTAAAAGAGAGAGAGAATACACCATTAGAAACATATTTAACCTTGTCAAAATAATATGAAGTGTATTAAATAGTAAGAATGAGGATATAATTGAAAATCTTCTTTAATGGTTGCGAATTGAATTAATTTGTTAGTGAATTCATTCTGTATGTGAAGGGAAAGTAATTATTAATAGAAAAAGATAGAGGTATGGAGCGACCTTGTTTCTATTAATAGCATTATTTCTATATATCATGGAATATGTATATTGTATTCCTTTATTGACTACCTCTCCTTAGTAACTGAGAGATAACAACCATTGTGGTGACCATACATTTAAGTGAATGTCAACAGACATAGGTCTATCATTTTCCCACTCTTGGTGCACCCGATGCTCCTGCATACCTGATTTGTAGTATATATATATATTTATAGTTAACTGGAATCCCAGTCACATTATAGTTAATCAGTATGTTCTATATATTCAATCTTCAGTAAACAATTAAATTTTTTGGCTGCCAAATTTTAATTTTAATTTTGCATCTTTAAGATAATTATCATAAGTATTACAACAACAATTGATTATGTTTGAAATTATATTCCCAACTATTACCAAATCTAAAACATTACCAATAATACTGCAATCGCAACGACTCCAACAGGAACCACCACCTCAATCACAACCAAAATCAATTCTAAAAACTTCAAATTCAAAACAACCATTATTATTAAGAAAATTTAAATCAGTTATATTTAGAACCAATTCATTTAGTAGTTTACAATTAGATATTGATTCAATTCGGAATGATACTGAACCAGAAGAAGACGAGGATGAAGATATTAGTAGTTCCACATTGGACTCATTTCCGCATCCAATTCATGAAATTCAAACAAGAAAAATACACCCAACTCTTTTACAAAGACTGCAACAACGAGCTATTGATAAACAACAAGAAGAAGAAGACCATGAGGAGAAGGATGAGAATGATAATGAATTAGAAGAATTAGAAGAATTACAAACATATTTGCAATCCCTCAAACTCCAATATGAGTCAACAATTTCCTCATATACTGCAGAATATAGAAGTAAAGCAAAACCCTTCGAATTCGTAATCTCTCACTACGATAATAATACTGATACTTCGCAATAAAAGCGCACCCATTGTCACTATTGTTGTTATTATCCATTATTAAAAATAATTATATCCCTATCTCTCTAACTAGCGATTGTTATCATATGAATTTACAAAATATTTAAATATCCGTTGTTTAAATTTCTTCTTCCCTTCTTTCTTCTTTGATGATTTCTTAATTGCCACCACTTCTTCATGATCAGTATCATCAGTAGAATTTTGTCCATGAATGGGGACAACTAAGGAATTTTCCGTCGATCGTGAATCGGATTCAATATGATCTTCATCACCTGCTTGGGTATATCCACCACTAGTAGCTGGATCTGATTGAGCTGGTTTCTCTTCGACAAGCTGGGATTGCGGTCTTTTTACCGCTACTCGAATCGTATCGCCATCATTAACTGGTGGTTCCATGATCCCTTGAGGTGCAGTAGATGGGTTTGACAGTCCATGTTGTTCTTTGGGACCAAAAAATGCCAGTTGGACTTGTTTTTGGAGATCGACATGAACGCCTTCTTTACTCTTGTCAATTTCAACATTACCATTATTTTCCAAATCAATATTCTTACTGACTAGACCGGTAGTTTCGATATTTTCTAAACCAATATCCTTCGTGTCTTTATCAGAATTGTTGATATTTTCTAACTCGACATTCTTCATCCCTACTTCACCCACGTGGATTTCATCCTCCACAAGCGCAGCTTTATCTTCTTCTTCATGAGGCACCACATCGGCAATATTGCCACCTTGGATCTCACCCACAATACCCACATCATTCCCTATCTGATCGTCATCATTCCCTATCTGATCATCACCACCACCACGACTCTCATCCACTATATCCCTATCATTTCCGACCGGCGCATCTTCATCCACATCAATCTCTTTCTCATCCCGATCCACATCAATCTCTTTCTCATCCCGATCAACATCCATCACATCCTCAGTATGAACCGATATCATCTCATCACCAACATCTTCTTCTACTTCTTTTCTGGATCCCACCACTTCCTCATCTTCATGATGCTCGGATGTCGACTCCTTTTCGCCGCTATTAGCTACTGCTACCTTCTCCTCCTCCTGTTCGTCATCATATTGAGATGTTGCCTCCTCGTTATATTGAGAAGAAGACATTTCTGGACTACTCATCCCCGTTTCTTCTTCTTCTATTTCAGTTTCGATATCTTGCAATTCAGGTCTGCCTACTGGTGTGATATTTCCTGGAATCTTGTGTTGTATGTTGTTTATGACTGGAAGATTATCCTCTATGGGAAGTGGTTGTGATAATTCGTTGGGGTTTGTGTCTGGCTGGATCACTTTTTCGGTAGTTTCTACTGGTGCTTGGGGTGGTGATATTTCATGAACTTCTTCTGGTATATCTTTTGCGTTTTCTGATTCGATTGGATAAGAAATTTCCTGGTTTGGTTCTTCAGCTTGAGCTCTCTCAATTGGTGCTGGTTTGACTACCTCTTCCGATGTCGCCACTTCTTCTTTCACTGTCGTTTTGGATGGGAAAGCTCCTTCAGGTGATGATGTTACCTCACTCTCAGTTGGAAGTTCCTCCACTTGTGGCGACATTTCCGGTTCCATTTCCTCGGAAGCAGCAGATATCATCCCCTCTTGTGATTTTTCTGGTGTTCCTAACCTATGTGATATTTCTGGACGTTGACGAAGAGCAGCAGGTACTTCTCGTTTAATCACCGGAGAAGGCGTACGGTGAAATTCTTCAATTGGTGGCGTTTCTCCAGATTTCCAGGGATCGAGGGTAGCCACTGTCTCAAGTGGGATTCCATCTCTTTCATAACTTGATATATCATTCTGAGTTACAGGTGACGTTTCTTGCAGTTGTGGAATACGTCCGTCGTCATTCTGTTGTTCATGTCCACTTTCTTCTTTGTCGTGCCTGTGAATAAACTTCGGCAACAACTTCAACCCAAAACGTCTTCCATCTTTCTTCTGCTTATTCTTCTCCTCCTCCATTCTTTCCTTCTCCCTCTTCTTCTCCTCCGCTTCTCTTTCCTTCATCAATCTCTTCTCCTCTACCTCCCGTTCCTTCGTCAATCTCTTCTCCTCTACCTCCCGTTCCTTCGTCAACCTCTTCTCCTCTGCCTCCCGTTCCTTCGCCAACTTCTTCTCTTCCTTCACTCTTTCCTTCCGACTCTTCTGTTTCACTCCTGGGTCTCGCATAGAATGAACTGTAAATCCTTTATGATGTCCCCGATACTTCCGATCCTCAATCTCCCCTTCTCGATGAATACCATCCACCGCATACTTCTTCGCTATTTCCTCAGTTTTCGGTTCTGATTGACCCGGAGTTGATATTGATACTGGTATTGCTTCTTGGCGATCGCCGTAGACTTTCTTATATGCCGCCTGCATTGCTGCTGCATACATATCCACTTCTGGTATGGGTTGTGGTGCTGGAGCAGGCGTTGGATGAGGTTTATGGGATTGTTGTGGTTTGGGTTTATGTTGAGAAGCTGGGATGGAGATGGTCTGGACATGATCATTGAATTTTATGGATGATGGCGGGGATGATGAGGTCATAGGCGCGGATGCTTTAGGTTGTAAGGGTGGTGAATGGGTTAGATTGTCTAAACTTGCTCGAGAATTTTTTAAGATTGATCGAAGTGGTTTTGACCCACTACTTCCAATAGATCCCAATCTGTTATTGTTATTTTCGTCAATTGGTGGTTTCAATTCTCCATCTAATGGTTTTATTTCTTTGGGATTGATTTGATTGGTATTATCTCCCAAATTCAATCTTAATTTCATATCTGGATCATCTAAATGATGCGAATCAACTTGATAATCATAATCGAAATCACTTAAATGTTCATCTATTTTTTGTAAATTAGGCAGTAAAGTTATAGAATTCACCCTGTTACTTCCCGATGCCATTGAGTTTGATCTTGAATTAGTTCTTGAAATGTTCTTGGTTGTGGTTTCGATAATGTTGGATCCATCAGGTAGCATTTTTATAGTCTTTGTTGTGATTGATTGGGTACGACCTTGGGCATCGACGATTTTTCGAGTTGAGGTGCTTATGATTGTTAAATCTTCTTCTTCTTCTTCTTGTTGTTCTAATCCTAAATCTGACTCCTCGTGCATCATCATATCTTCAATTGATTGATAATTCGGGGATACATGGGGTTGGGGTGAATAGTTTGTTAAACTGCTATATCTTCTTGCATTTGGAATAGTTGCACTTCCCGGTGTATATGATGCCGTGGGGTTATATACATATTGTTGGAGTGAATTGGCCCTATTGCCTGTAAATGAGCTTGATCTCGGTGCTTGCAGTAATCTTTGACGTTGTTGCCGTTGGGTTGCAGTTGTATTTCTTGGAGTCTGTCGTTTTGGTTGTTGTATTTGTGGCGGTACTGGCAGACTATGCATTCGTAAAGCTGCTATGGCAGCTGCCTTACCTGCATTATATTGGGCAGACTGATCTGGGGGTGCATACTGTTGTTGATGTTGTAGCTGTGTTTGGTTGTATTGGTTTATATCGCTTGCGTATTTGCTAAACCCCTGATAAGTATCTTGCTTTCGTTGCTATATGATTCAGTTAGTAAACACTTGAAATTCCAACCCTGGGCTAAAAGCTTAGCCAACTTAATAAATTGTAAAGAAAACATACTCTTCTAGTAAATAATCCCATTATGTGTTAATTGTTCCTTTGAATTGATATAATGGGTATAGGAAGATACCGCTATAATTTGGTGCTGGGGAATTAATTCAGAAACTTGAAAAGTGAAATCACAACCATAAAATGATCATCATTAATCCTCCTTAAACAATTTAACTTTCCTTAAAAAAATAAAATTAACAAACCAGACTGCATATAGAACCGAATTCCAGATGAAACCGTGTATTGTTGTTGTTCGATTGTTCTTTAGCCATCAAGTATTACACAAACAGGGAAAGTATTAGATATCTCATCTACCCACCAAGTATCAGTTAGCACCATTGTAGTAGTTCTATTTGGTATGGCATTAGTATAAGCATAGGAAGTAAAATACATTCTCATAAATAAAAGCATCATAAAACAAATTGATCGGCCAATAATTCTCGTATTCTCATGACTCTTAACCAACCTTCGATAATGACACGCAATACATCAACTTGCATCAAAAGATGTCTCATTTATTCATTGATCGATTATAAAGTACTAATTGACGTCATAGAACAATCATTCTTTCAATTCCTACTTTTTGTACAAAATGGACTCTTTTTTTTTTGCAACCAGATATTTTAAATTTGCAGTATGACTTGCAAGCCAATTGAGACTGGGATAAAACAGAATAACCCCTGAAATTAACCATCCTATAATATTTAAATTTGTAGAATTACCATAGAATACTTAATATGTTTATTAGTGATATCTGTGATATTCCATTAAGGTTCTTTAAACATTCTCTTATAGTTTAACTCATTTTACAGCCACACTTCACACTTCACTTGCCTCTCAACTAAAAGGAAAGTAATTAGTAACCAGTTTTATTTCCAATAGACATCTCCATTTTATTATTTCAATATTCAAATTGAAAACTGGTTGATTATATATCTTATTTAAACCATTTGAAATGAAATCATCAAATCATTTTAGATTGTCAGTGAAAAGTGGTGATGACTTTTATTGGTTATCTTCTTCTGTTGCAAATTATTAAAGTACGCGATCACCAAATCGCATACCACACGAAATCGTACGGAAGCGAAAAATTGTCCCATACAAATTTTCTTCAAAATCTCTAATTCAAGCGTATATTAAACATCACTACATATTTTATTTTACAACTTTTGAAGTTGATATGGTAAGTCGACGTATCTAGGTATGTTTTCCAACAGATATCAAGTTGATTGTATTATTTCCGGTTGTTCGATACGTACTTTTGTCTCGTTTTTCGTTTTTTTTTAGACTTTGAGAGCTGGCTACCAGGGCTACATTTATTTTCAGAGTTAGAGAAACGGGTTAGGTGTTTCTACAGGCAATTTCATATATATTTAAAATCGCATTGGCACAGTTTATTTGTATCTTCAAATCACCATATTTTCTAGAATTTGGTGCAGTTGCATCGGCAGTGTGAATCTCAGCATTAGTGTTCTTTAAGTTCATTTAATAATCTAGGGTTGCTAACACAACTGACAATTTGTACCTGGATCATAAGTAAGTAGATCTGTACCTAGACTTTTCCGATTGTACTTCTCAAGATCAAAATTAGCGTTCAGAATATTCTTTCCAATGGTTTTTGCCAACTTTTAATTGCTTTATTCTTTTGTGTATTGGAATTGTTTGCACCAGACCGTAGCACAGACGAAAAACTAGTAAGTAACCCATTGTTGGCACCAGACAGTCCTTTGCTCTCTGATTCCCCCAATGGACTACTTGCGACTTTCTCTGTGCTACTTGCTGATGGCTTAATTGTGTAGGAAGACTAACGACGTTATTAACTATTTTCGAGCCATTCCTTTTACATGCATTTGATTTGTGTAGCGAATTCAACTTTTCCTCCGCTGTCTTTGACGATTTCTTTGACGGTGTACTTGACATCGCTACCTTTCTTATACTCATGTTAATGGGCTATCCAAATGCCAAGAAGGGTCTGGTACACCACCTCTTTATACGCAATATAACACATTCTGGTATCGATCATGTCTAACTAAATTAGAATGTTTTATATCGCATATAAAGACGTGGTGTACCAGACCCACATTCGCATAAATAAAATCAGTGAACTCACTAACAGTAAACGAAGAACACCTTCAAATCATAACCCTTAAAAATTATGCTTTGAACTGCTGGAAGTTCAGAATTATCAGTATCAAATTCGTTTTCTCCGACTAAGATCATTGCTTCTACCAAATTCGTTAGCCTTTCATCTAATTTTGAAAATAATTCCTTCCATTTTCTGGCAATCATATTGGAGCTTGAAGTAAGTTGTTTTAAATCTCTTAATTCGTCTAAATACTTACAGAACTTTTTGGTGACAAAATTCATAATGTCCAATTCAGATGCAAGAGGTCTTGCTTGAGTTTTTAACTTCTCAACCTTTGATTTCTAAACCCTTTTCAGCTGACATCTTTGTAACACAATATAATTATAATGTTTGAAATTAATAAATTTAATATGATAAATGATTTAAATAAAACAAGTCTAAAAGTATATTTACGGTCACTTTGACTTCTAAGCTGTTCGCACCTGTAATTTAAATGAGCCCATGTAACTTTTTAAATGGATATATTAAGCTTAAGCATACGAGATTCTCGTAATTATGTTTGTTTCTAACTAATAGGTTATTACTGTTTGAAAATCCTTAGTCTATTTATAATAAAACAAATATATAATTTTAAAATACTTCTCATTTTGTATTCACCATTCTCTTAGTAAAAATTTTTCACTTCTAATTTAACAATTGTACACGACCAAAGTCTCATATCCGAACAACAATTACAATCATATTTGTCATCTTACATAATAACGGTTATTATCATTTTGCACTGCAGGTTTATCCGGTCACTATCAAATTAATTTGCAAAATTTTTACTAAAATGTTACATATCAACTTTGGCTAACTAATATATATAACTCTCATAAGTGTACAGTCATATGAGACTCATATATATCCTTCCTATATTAGTATCAATAATCTATTACTACTATTTCTTCAACACCACAAACTCAACTCCAGATACTACTTCCAAAACAATGACAGCAGCAACCAAATTTATTAAAAACACCCACCCTTTCCCCACCTATTTCTTCAGTCATGGAGCTCCATCATTCATGTATCCAGAAGATCAATTCGGAAACGCAGGAGCATACAAAACCATCAAAAAAATCGGTACCAAAATCAAATCCCAACTCAAACCAGATTATATTATCGTTGTGAGTGCTCATTGGCAATCTCAAGGCACGAATTTAATTGAAATCAATTATCAACCCCGGGGAGAGAATAAGTTGATTTATGATTTTTATGGATTTCCTAAATATATGTATCAAGAAGAATTTCATTCTTTTGGTTCCTTAACTATTGCCAATGAGATCCAAAAAGAATTAAAATCTGGTGGATTTGATACTAGGATTTCTGATCGTGGTATTGATCATGGAGTTTGGGTGCCTTTTAAAGTTGCTTTTAGTGATTATACTACCCAAACGAAACAACCTGAAGAGAAGGGGGCGTTGGATTTACCTGATACTGCGGTGATTCAAGTTAGTTTAACTTCATCAGATGGAGATTTTGAGAAACACTTCAAATTAGGTGAAGTGTTGAGTAAATTTAGGAATGAATTAGTATGGGATGAAGAGAAACAAAGGTATTTAAGTGGGATGATTATTTGTTCAGGTATGAGCGTACATAATTTATATGACTTAGGTACAAGTTTTCAAATGCCTGGCAAAGTTATGCCATATGTTAAACCATTTAATCAATTATTAAATAATACTTTAACCAAAAGTGGTGATCGTTTATTGAATGGATTATTGGATTTGAAGAAGAGTAGTTTATTAAAACAAGCTCATCCTACTTTAGAACATTTCGTACCTATTGTGGTTGCAAGTGGAGTTGCTAACAAATCAGGTGAATCAATTAAGGAATTGTATAATGCTGAAGCAAATAGTTTAGCTTGGGGTATTTATCAAATTGGTAATTACAAACTTTGATCCAACTCTCTCCCATAACACTTATATATAGCCATCTATATACCTATTAATATAACACTTCGTGTATTAATTCTTTTATATATAATTTATAGAAAAACAACATGCAAATATAAATATAATGTACAAACCACACCAACTGTCCGCTCTACTCTCTATCTTTCTTTTTCTCTCTCTAACCAACCCCCCAAGAGACCCGGTACTACGACCTACTTATCCCTTCAAAATATCTTGAACAGCTTTAGCAACCCCAGCTTCGTCCAATCCTTCCAAGCTATTCTTGACTTCCCTCCCCTTCTCAAATCTAGCAGTTAAACTAGGTGGAATCCCATAACTTTCTCTAATTAATACTGGTAATTGATTATTCAGTTGTTGTTTTATACTAGAATAATTCTTGGTTAAGAAATTACGTAATGGAATTGAAGCTTCTCCAGTTTGGGATAAATGGAATCTTAATTCCTTTAATGCAGTAGGAATGACGAATTTGGACATGACCAATTATGTGTTGTAGTAGTTATGGAGTCTTCCTTGATATCGAATTTACATGGTTGACTGAAATTTTTTCTAACATTACTATTCTTTGAAATATTAGTGGTTGAGTCCTGTATGCAGGAGTTGCGTCATGTGACATTCATGTGATCAGTCTTATTGGATTTTTTGGCTGCAAAAATTAAGAACCAATTGAATGTTATAAAAATGGATACCTAGGGTGAAATAGTATGTATATTGAGGTAGTATGTATGACTGTAATGTTATAGGAAGCCTTTTTGTTTGCTTTTACTTTCCTTTATTTTATTTTATTTTGTCAAGTGAATTTTGCAATATTTTTAAGCAAATTTATACTCACAGGTTTTCATACTTAATTCGGTGGTTTATTGCATTTTGATATCACGCAAAACTTTCATATTCAATTTATAAGATTTGCCATATGTAGTCAATGGGAAGACATCATAATGATCTGTCTCTTTAGTAAGTATGCATTGATCTTGCAAATGGCCGGGCATTCCAGTGTTACACCCTTTCAAAGTTTGGTGAGAAAATGAAAAACTCTCGAAAGGATGCCTATAGGTCCTCCGTGGTCTTGCTTCGTTTATAGAGATAACATATGTTTTTGAAAGAGAGATAATGTTTTCCCAACAAATTATTCTCATTTTCAATAAGGGAGATGAAACCACTCTTGCTAAAGAGACTATTCAATCAATTAATGAATGCAAACCATTTTATTCCATAGAAAACAAACTAGAAAACATATATGCAAATATATATAAAATAAATAAACTATTAAGAACCAAACCAATCCCAACCAATTCCAATTCAAGTACTTTCAACTTCCACCGGCATCCCAATTTCCATTGATTTCATAACCGCTTTAATACAAAGCAAAGCAGAAATTCCATCCTCAATACAACATTTCGGATCCTCCTTTCCTTCAATCACATCCACAAAATGATTCAATTGTAAATCAAACGGCATCACTCCACAATCAACCTTAACCACCTCTTCATTCACACTCTTAGTCCAACTTGGACTATTCTTCTGATGATACAAAGTCATATCTGGCATAGACAACGTTCCTTTAGTACCAAAGATACGATAAACCCCACATAAATTTTCATGTTTTGGTATAGTCGGATTCTCCCCCGTTCCAGCTTCGAAATTGATCGGAGAGGCCACATTGTCGGAACAAATAAATGTACCCATGATTCCAGAGTGGAAGTTTATAGTTAGGACACAACCTTCATCAGCATCATGATCCAAACGTTGTTTTGATAACGGTTCGGCATAGATCCTGAATATGGGTCCGAATAAATATTGTAATAAATCGATATCATGAACTAAATTAATCGCAACAACACCACCTGATTCAGCAGTTGTTCTCCATGGAGAATCGATGAAGTATTGATCGGGTTTCAGAAGGGTCCAAGTACCTTGAATGGCGATTATTTTCCCACATTTGGAGAGATTTCGTTTGGTGGCGACAATATAGGGATTAAATCTTCGATGATGTCCTACTAAGACTTTTATATTTTGGGAAGTGGTATATTCTTGTAATAATTTCGCTTCGGTTGTATTCATAGCAATCGGCTTCTCAACTAATAAATGAATACCATAGCTTGCCAATTCTAATCCGATTGTAACATGGGTATGATTTGGAGTACATACGATTGCTCCATCAGGATATGGTAGATTATAGCGATCACAATAGCTGATGAGGTGTGATATTGTGGGGAAATAACTGGTGCCCAATTTGACGGCGGTACGTTTTGTTTGGGGTTGGGGGTCGATGATTGCAAATAGGTGAGTTTTTTTGTTGAGTTGAACGTGTTTAGCATGACGAGGGCCTATTAAACCTGCTCCTACTATTATTATGGTGTGGGTTGATGCAACTGTCATTATTTTTGCCGGTGCAAATAGTTACACAAAATTAGTCCTTTTGTAGGGTGAGTGAGGAAGCAATGATTAATACAAAGTAATTGCAAATAAGACGCAGCAGAGAGACAGAAGAAGAAGAAGAAGAAGAAGAAAAGAAAGATGACTGAGAGGCATAATAATTAGAAGTAACATCAAAGAAGTTGAAGAAGATGAAGAAGAAGAGAAATGAAAAATTTTCATAAAAATGAATCACCAAAAAATATTTTATTTTTTCATTGTGTTACAGATTTCTTTTTTCTTTCTTTCTTTTCCATACATTTTTTTAGTGAATGTTCTATGCGTTACACAGAAAAAATAATATTATAGATTAATTACCCCATATTTCAAAAAATCTAAATACAACATGGAGATTCACGTGTCAATTCAATATACAACGCCACAACTTATTCCCCAAGAAAAGAATTATGACTCATCTAGAACTACTAAGAAATTTTATATTAGTATTACAGTTTTATAACTTTGGTTATTGTTCTAGAATAATAAGTATAATGACATGTACATACTTTAGATGTTTGCTACATGGCAATGCATCATCTGATAAGGAACAATCCCCTACCCCGTTAATACACCATCTGCTTATGTATATATTGTTGCTATATAAAATGCACATAGAGCAGTAAATTTTACTAGAGTCAATTGTCTCTTGTCTATTTCTTTCTTGTTATGCTCATCAAGAGATACCATCCACTTGAACTAAGGAACACAAAAGGCTCTTATAATGATACAAAATCTCAATCATATCATAGAAGTATATTAAGATCCTAATATACGTGTACTTTTAAGCCCGATTTACTCTTTACTTTCTTGCCATCTTCTCTTTCTCTTCTTTATCATTATGTATATTAGAACTTTCCGATGAACACCAAACCTGTTTCATTAGATGCCGGGTTAAGAAGAGGATGGAAAAGATTATCAATATTGCTAACTAATATTCAAATTAGATCAAAATTAAGTAGAAAACATTTATTACTTAAAATTCATGATCTTTCATTCACCAAAAGATATAGACAATATTTAATGAATAGAGTAAAGAATAATCAATCAAGAGTATTAAGATCAAAAGTGTTAACTTTAATTCAAAAGATCTTTAGATGAACCAAGGGACTTGTCAAGAACCAAAGAACGAGTGAATTATCAATTGCTGCAAATTAATACATCATACAACGTACATTACAGATTAGGGAGATTCTGTTGAATAAATATGCATACATAGATATTTAGATACATATCCAATCTTAATAGTATCATATATACACACACATTACATCTTACAATGTATACTGTTAGCTAAGTATAACACTTAGTAACAGCTTCCCGTCTCTTTCTTGTTCTTCGTTACAAGCTTGCAACCCAACTGTCGTATTTTTTTGTCGTGTCGCTTTGCTCTAAAATAGTGTCTCATCTGACAAATCAATAAATTCAATTGCTTATCTCTCTTTCTATTACTTCTCCGTGCTGATTAATGCTATCCCAATTAAACAACAACAATGCCAACTAGTTCACGACAAATAGAACACCCTTCAACCGAACTCCCAGAATCCTCACCCCTGTACATTTCCCTCTCCCATTCAATCACCACCACCTCATCCACCACCACCACCAATACCACTAGCACCAATCAAGATCCCGAACTCTCCCAAGCATTCGCCCAAATCTGCCACGCATGTCGAACAGGCGACATAGAATCAGTCGACTCCCTCCTCCTGACCCCCAACCTCAATATAAATCAAATGGACGAATACGACTACTCCCCCCTCATCCTAGCCTCCCTATGCGGCCACTACAATATCGTCGAACTCCTACTCAAACGAGGTGCCGTCTGTGACAGAGACACTTTCCAAGGCGCCAGATGTGTCTATGGAGCCCTAACAGACCAAATCCGGGACCTATTGATGAGTTTCGAGATTTCGAAGGCTGTGGATGTGAGTCAGCCTTTTGCGGGGCATATTTCTTCATTATTGGAAGCAGGTGGGGGGATGATGGATGTAGTGTTGGTGTTTGGAGGAGGTGAGAAGGTGGGTATACATCGATTTTTATTGGCGGCGAGGGTTCCATTGTTGAGGGAGAAGTTGTTAGGTGAGTGGGAAGAGATGACAGTGGTTAATATGCCGAAGAGTGTTGATTGTGGGGCGTTTAGAGTCATCAGGGATTATATTTATCTTAGGACGGATTCTTTGGCGATTGATGATGAGGAGATTCAAGAGGGGGTGGTTGAATTGGCGAGGAAGTATGGGTTGGTGGATTTGGTTGAAGGGGTGGAGGAGATTAGGAGAGTGAAGGGGGATGATAAACAGAAATCAAAATTAAAACATGATTTATCAGTGAAATTTATTGAAACCGCAAGAAGGGAGCTTGATCAGTTTCTAAGAGAAACAATATATAAAGAGAAAATCTCAATTCCATTGGATCTCAACACTATCGATCTTGAAGATTTAGATTGTCAAGAGTATTTATCACCAGAATCCAAATCAGCCCTATTAGAAGCCGATTCAATTCCCGATATAATCATCGCATGCCTAGATTCCGAATCAGAATCAATAGTATACTACCCCGTCCATAGATCAATTCTTGCCCGATCAGAATATTTCGACACGATGTTCAAATCAGAAATATTCCAATATTCCCAAGAAGAAATACCAACCTACAAAGACCACACACTTGAGATCATCAATCGACCACAATTACAAATCGATCACATCCCGGTCATTCAACTCTGCACCAGTGCCGACAATCACGAAATCGCAGAAATGATCCTTTCATATCTCTATCATGATGACGTAAAACAAATCCCATTGGAATTATGTATAGAATTACTATTTGCCGCTGATGAATTATTCTTAGAGAGATTGAAAACCATGTGTGCAGTCACCATCACCACCAGATTCCCCGACCTTAATTATGAAGAATTTCAATCCTTTAAAGCCACACTTGGAGCTGATGCATATGATCTAATTCGAATCTCATGGCAAACGAGGTGTGATAAATTAGAACATCACATCACGAAATCGATCGCATATAATCTCCAACCGATATTCAATTCCAAACAAGAAAGAACCAAATTCAGCCAGTTTGTCCAAGAATCGGCAGCTAGGATTAAAGAAAGACAAGAAACTGATACCATTGAATTAATTGATGATATAAGATATTATTTAGGTAAGAAACATGCCGTGTTTCAATTTGTGGAGAGTTTTGATCCGGGGTTTAGGAATTTGAATGAGGTTGATGATATTGGATTATATAAGAATGCTGTTAGGCGATATGAACGAGATATTGATATTATAGATTCATTATTGGATGAATTGGATTTAGAGGCATAGATAGAGTACATTTGGTAGCATACTCGTCATGTGGTAGCATATTTGCATATGGTAGCTCTCTGATCTCATCTCATCTTCCCAATAAAAAAAAAATTAAATTTTCATTCTCTCTTTATGTAACATATACTCTCTTTCTGTTAAAAGACAAACTATAGACATATCCAATAATGACAGATAATAATCCAGATGGTGGTATGTCATTAGACTCCATGATCTTAGACGATAAATTATCTAAAATCAGATCACAAATAAATTCAAAATTAGACAATCAAAAACATTTATCAATAATTTTATCAGCAGTTGAAGAAAATATTGAAGAACAACATAATGATAAAACTCCTACTGCATACTTTGTTTCATTCTTATCATTATTAGATCAATGTATTAAAGAAGATTCAATTATTGATAATACTTTAGCTACCACCACTGCATATTTCTTAGATCTTGTGTTTCCATTCACCCCAAAACCCTTACTTAAAGAGAATTTTAATCAAATTTTAGCAAAGTTGGCATATCCATTAACTCATCCTTCCGCAGAAGCTCCCTTAATTAGGTCCACTATTGGTGCATTAGAAAGCTTATTATTAGCCCAAGACCACAAACAATGGAGTGCTGGTGGAAGTATCTCCCCCAAAAGGGCTTTTTTGGGATTGGTTGAATTATCCTTCGATCCAAGACCAAAAGTCAGAAAGAGAGCCCAGGAATCAGTTAGTAATATCTTATGCAACCCACCAGCATCACCACTGCCTGTGCATGTTGCTTCTGGATTAGCTGCTGAAGTTGCTTTGAATAAATTATCCCAATTATTACAAGATGCATCCACCCAGAAGAAGAAAAACACTAATAAAGAATTAAATTCCCAGATTATTCATTGCTTACAATTGATTACCACTATTACGTCGGCCAATTCATGGCCGGTGGGAGAGATTGAACCACTTTGTGATATCTTATTAGAAATTTCTAAGACTTCGGATCAATATCTTGTCCTGTCTGCATTTAGAGCATTTGAAGGGTTGTTTAAATCAATGACAAATATTATTGATGTTGAAAAGTTTGCTAGAGTGTTGAATGTTATTTTTGATTTAAAACCTTCAATTAATGATAATCATTTGGCTGCATCTTGGTTAGCAGTGATTGCGAAGGCGTTGGAAAGTTTTTCGGTATTGTCGACACAAGAATGTTTGAGGAAGTTTGGAACGATCTTGCCTGTGGTTGGATCATTCTTGGGTTCGGATTCGAAGGATATTTATATTTCCGCTTCTCAATGTTTGATTGCGATTATTACTCAATGTATCCCTGACAACTATTTATTAAACCCAACTCCCGAAAATGGAATCACTGGGGACATCTACGAATTAATGGACGAAACAATTACTTTTATTTCCGAAATGATCGAAAATGAATTCTTCTCAATTAAATACCAACATGCCACCAAACAAATCTTGGAATTCACAACTGCCACGATTTTGAAATTAAGAACTAGGGCCAATCCTGATTTTCTTGCGGTTTTAGAAACAGTTGGTGCTTGGAGAACTAATGAAACTGACAATTTCCCTCATAATAAAGAAGCAGAAGATTTAATTGCTGCTTGTATTTCAACCATGGGTCCACAAGTTGTTTTAAGTATCTTGCCGTTGAATTTAACTGGTGGTGGTAATGGTAGTGGTAGAGCATGGTTATTGCCGATTTTGAGGGATAATGTAAGATTTGCCGATTTACAATATTACAAAACTGAAATCTTACCAATTGTCGAATTTTTTGAACAGAGTATTGAAAAATCAGGAAATAAGGAATCAATGAATGTAAAGATTTTCCAAACTATTATTGATCAAATTTGGTCCTTACTCCCCCATTTCTGTGATTTACCAAAAGATTTAATCACCGCCTTTGATGATGAATTTGCCGCTAGGTTGTCTGATTTGATGTATGCCAAGGTTGAATTACGTGGGACTATATGTCATGCATTAAGATTATTAGCAGAATCTAATATTGTTTATTCCGAAGGAGCAATGAATGATGATTTATTAATGTTGCAAGAATTCCCAATTGCAGAATCTGAGAAGAATTTGGAATATTTACAATCGAAAACTTCTAATATCTTGAGTGTTTTGTTTAATGTGTTTTCATCCACATTACCTGAATCAAGAGGGTTTGTATTAGAAACTATTGATGTTTATTTACAAATTGCACCAAAGGATGAATTGGCAGGTACTTTTGATAAAGTCTGTGGATTATTGAGAAATGCCATGGATGAAGAAGCCAAACAAGCACCACAACAACAACAGCAACAAAAGAATAAGAACGAGACTCCAAAGCTTAGTATCACCATGATGGATTTAATTGTCGCCATGGCCAAATTTGTCCCTGAAACCAGTCATAATGCATTATTCGCCATCTTTTCTACCACTGTTGTCATGAAGGATAATGCATTATTACAGAAACGTGCCTATAGATTAATTTCCAAGCTTGCCGAAACCGTGCAAGGAAAACAATCAATCTTAAGATTTATTGGCGATATCGAAACCGTCCTCCTTCAAACCACCGAAATCACTCATAATTCAGCCCGTGCTTCAAGATTACAATCCATTACTTTGATTCTTGACTTATTACCAACAACAGACCTCTACTTCATTCCGGCAATCTTACAAGAAATAATCCTCGCCACCAAGGATGTCAATGAAAAATCTCGTCAATTATCATATCAAATATTGATTCAAATGGGACATAAGATGATTGCTGGTGGGATTGTCCAAAACTCAAGAGTACCAGGATTTGACCCAACCACTCCTGATTCCGTGGCTAATTTATCGGAATATTTCACAATGGTGAGTGCTGGTTTGGCTGCTCAGACTCCCCATATGATTTCAGCATGTATAACTGCTATATCATGTTTGGTATTTGAATTTAAGGATGTTTTGGCGGTGGATACTTTATTGGAAATTTCTCAAACTGTTGAATTATTCTTGACTCATAATTCAAGAGAGATTGCTAAAGCTGCAATTGGATTTGTAAAAGTTGAAGTATTATGTTTACCCGAAGAAATGGTTAGGACCAATTTACTGGAAATGTTGAACAAATTGATGAAATGGTCTCATGAACATAAAGGGCATTTTAAATCTAAGGTTAAACATATTTTGGAAAGATTGATTAGAAAATTTGGTATTGAGGCTGTGGAAGAGAATATTCCTGAAGATGATAAGAAATTGATTGCAAATATTAGAAAGACAAGAAATAGACTCAAGAAGAAACAAGAAGAAGCTGCCACCGCTGGTACTACCTCATCTACAACTGATTCATCTCAACAACAACCAGCTAAATTTGTCTCAGCTTATGAACAAGCATTATATGATTCTGATTCAGATGAAGAAGATGTTGAGATCTATGACGAAGATAAGCTTCGTTCTAAAGCATCTCAATTCATTCTTGAATCTGGGGATGAGCCATTGAATCTTTTGGATAGAAATGCATTAGCTCATATTTCATCTTCAAAACCAAAGAAATTCACCAAGTCAGACCTTACTTCTAAGAAAGCTGAATTTAAGACTAAGAATGGGAAACTTGTGTTTAATGAGAATGCTGAAGATGAAGATTTGTTAGCTAATAAAGGATCAGGTATTGATGCTTATTTGGATGCTGTTAAACAAGCTCCTGTTAGAGGACAAAGAAATAAATTGAAATTTAAGAAACAAAAGAATGATGATAAAGAAGATTGGTCTGATGATGAAGAAGAGCAACCAAAGAAGAAGAGCTTTGATAGGAGAAGTGGTAGTAAGAGTGCTATTGGTAAAGGCAGTAATAGAGTATCTAAACCTAAACAAAAATTTAAAGCTAAAAAGAAGCTTTAATAAATTGATCCCCATAGTTTATAAATAATTTGTATATTAGAAATTAGTTTAATAAGAAAATAAGACATTTGTGTTAAGACATACGTTGTGCTTTTGCGACAAACAAACAAACCATAGACTCACTGTAAAAACACTTGATACAATTGAATGAAATGTAATTCCAATAGACTCTCCAAATTTTCCAAAGTTTCTTCTTATAATATCTTGTCTAATAATCTAATAGATCTTCTACCATTTGAATGATGATGGTTTTTACATGAGATCACGTGATCAAATTTATTTTCAAAATTTTTTTTTTAGTGCACTAAAATTTTCACCAATCATCTTCAACTTGACTAACCATTCATATATCAATTAACTATACATATTTAAAACACACTATGTCCAGTTGGGTTAAAGGAGCCAAAGTAGGTAAAGAAAATGTCAGAATCAGATTAGCCCGATTCGGAAGAGCCCATTCTCCAGTTTATAACATCGTGGTATCACCCAAATGTAAAGCTCGTGATTCCCTTCCAATTGAAGTAGTAGGTACATATAACCCAATAGCCATTCCTGGTCCATTAGGTAAGAAAGAAAACAAGAATGTTAAAGAAGTTGAATTGGATATTATGAGAGCCAAGTATTGGATGGGTGTGGGTGCCACCCCAACTGAAAAAGTTGCTTGGTTATTTAAGAAGGCAGGATTCTTGCATGAGGATTGGCCAAAGCCTAATAAATTTACCCAAGTAGTTAAGAAGCCTGTGGTGAATGATATTAAGTACGCCGAAGAAGAGAGGATTCAATTATATAGGCATAGAGATTAATGTTAGGTTCCCTTGTACATAGATGTAATAAAGAAAAAATTCATTTTTAAGTGTATATAAAAGCTATTCAATTTATAGTAGTTATTGATAAAGTAGCCTGCTATTTTTTGCTGCATTCAGTATCAACTCTGTCAACAGCTTCTATGGGTGCTTCTTTTTGACGTCTCCAAAATTTCCAACTATGCTGATGTTGTTGTTGTTGATGATGACGAGGAAGATTAAGATGACAATGATGGTAAAGGCCATCACGACGATTACCACGGCAATGATGGTGACGACGATGGAGATGATGGTGATGATCTTCTCCATTTCTTCGTTTGAATAATTCTTTAAATGGCCATCTAAACTTTGTTTTCTTAAACTCGGTGGAAGGACGTCTATCATCATAAGCTGGCTCGTCAAATAATTCAAGCACTGGAGTCTCTGAAGGATAGTTATAACATCTGTTCCCTTCATTTTCAAATTCATTAGCTGTCTCTAAATCAACACCAGGGTTCTTTAGCCATTTCTGAATGTCTTCTACTTTCGATTTATCTAAATTATTCTCATTGCCAGGATCATAATCCGCTTTTTTATAATCCTTAATATGAGAATTCTCAAGAACAGCAGTCTCCCTAACCTCCAGATCAGGAAATAACTCTCCAAAAATCTCACAATAATCTTCCTTGATTTGTTTATAACAAGACCATGCAGCCTCCTTATATGGACAATCTCTAATCGACTTAATAAAAGACAAATAAGATTCTTTAAACAATATCTTTGATTCTCCTTCTAATGGACCTTGGGTCTTGATCCAGTCTTTGAGGGTTATGGATAGGTCTGAGAAATACAAAGCACAATTCCCCACTTCTGTTCTGGTAGGAGCTTCACATAGCCAGGTTTCGATGAAGTGGAATAAGTCAACCATGGGTTCTGTAGTCGTTAGGATTATTCTTATGGCATGATTGACATATTTGTACTCTAACTTAGCCGCCCCACTACTACTACTTCCTACCATCATCATATCTTCATCGTAATCATCATTGATTCTCTTGATCAGGGACATCTTCACCCCATTAAGCACCTTCAACAACTCCGTAGTCGCAATTGGAGAAACTTCATTATAAGTCAATATTGAAAATTCATAAATCGTCTCAATAGCCCCATTCAACCTCCTCCAATCAATTTCGACATCCTTCAAGTCCTCAATCATGGGACAAATTAGATATTGGATAAGTTTATCCAAGCCATGATTGTCAAAATAATCCATTGCGTCTTTTACGATTTCGTACGTAGCGAGTTCTTCTGAGTTTCGCATTCTTTGTAATGACCCACTGACTTGTTCAAGGATGATGTAGGGATTGGTGGTAGAGATGGCATTGGGATAGCCACAATTGGTTATGGATACTAATTTTAGCAAATCTCGATGTATATTGGGTGGTTCATATGGCGGAAGGGTGGCTGGTTGGTTTGTGTTGGTAATTGTGAGGTCGGGATCATATGATGGACAGCTGGTGTTGTCGTTGAATGTTGACATGTTAGTAGTTTGTATGATTATTGTGTGTTTGGGGATGAGCGGTTAAATTGATTTTGGAACAAGTTTTTACAATTTTCGCAATCAAAACACAACACAAAAAAAATTAAAGCGAAGTTTCTTAAATATAAAAACGAACTTATAGATTTCTAAAACTGGTCTAATTTGCGCTTTGTGAATCAGTGAGATTAATAGAAATGGAAGATTACCCAAGCAAACAATGGAGGATTTGACCTACATTCATTGCAATTTTAGAAACTAGTTGTTAGGAGCTCTTCTATTAACAAGCAGAACCAATAGAAACGACAACCATCTTGTTAGTTTGTCACCAACAAAGTTTACCTTGAAATAAGCTCAAATAAATTGGAGTGACATAAATAATACTGCTCGTAATAAGAGAAAGTCTACACAGGCTAGTAATGATTCACCGGGAATTATGAAATGACATTAAAATTAACCAGCAATATGTAAAGCATATACGTTTTAAATAAATTATACAATCGGTTATTCGATAGCATCTTTAATAGTGGTATTTGCAGATAGCGGCAATCAAGAATAGGAACAAACTAATTGCGGTGACGCTTCCAAAACTTCCAATTGTGATGATGATGGTGATGCTCTTCGTTTCTTCGTTTGAATAATTCTTTAAGTGGATTTCTAAACTTTGAATTCTTCATCTCAATACAAGGAATATCCTCTTCCATACTAACAGTCTCACCAAGCAATGGAGTCTCGGAGGGATATCTAGAAAAACTTTCTCTTTCATCTTCAAACTCATTAGTTGTATCTAAAGCATCATCTTCATTAAACCCCATCTTCTTTATCCATTTCGGAATATCTTCTTCTTGTTTTGATTCGGGTAAATGATATCTATAATTATTCTTACTAGGATCATCCCCTTCTTTATAGACGTTAAAATCAGAATTATGAATAACAGTAGTCTGCATAACCTCCAGATCATCAACTAGTCCCCCAAAAATCTCACAATAATCTTTCTTGATTTGTTTATACGAAAACCATTGAAGTACTTTAAATGAACAATCCCTAATTGTTTTAATGAAAAACAAGTAAGATTCCTTAATCAGCGAATTAGCTTCTTCATCTAATGGACCCTGGGTCTCGATCGATTTCTTGAGGTTGATGGATAGATCTGAGAAATACAAAACACAATTCCCAACTTCGCTTCTGGTTGGAGCTTGACATAGCCAAGTTTCTACCAATTCGAATAATTGAGGTGACGGGTCTGCACGAGTCAAGATTATTCTAATTGCATTATTGGCATATTTATAGCCTATATGACCCGACCCACTACTACTCCCAACAATCATCTTCTCTTCATCTTTGTCAGTATTCGTTCGTTTGACTTTGGATAACACTATTGAATCTGAAAACTTCCTCAAATAGGGGAGATCTCCATTTCCACCACCATACACATTCCAACCATCATCATCATCATCATCATCATCATCATCAACAACAACATTAGTACTATCATTCTCAAACAGTTTCATCTTGACGCCGGCAAAAACCTTCAACAACTCCACAGTTGCCCTTGGACAAACCTCAACCCCCAACCCCGTCGAAGATTCATAAATGACCTCAATCACCCCAATTAACCTCTTCCAATCCCGCTCAACCTCCTTCATGTCCTCAATCATGGGACATATCAACTCAGTTATGAGGCTTTCAAATCCATGATTGGTGAAATAGTTTATGATACTCTGTTCGTGTTGTTTGTTATTGGACATGCTGGAGGCTCGTAATCTGCGTAATATCCCGCTTAGTTCTTCAAATAGCATAGAAGTGTCGGTGGTGGGATCAGAAATGGGATATCCGTCATTGGTTAGGGAGATTAGTTTGATGAAATCGTGATGGATTCGGGTTTCGAGTGTTTGATAGGGGAGGTAGTTGGTTGTCCAGGTGTGGGTGATTGTGAGGTTGGAGTCGTAAGAGGGGTAGTTGTTATATGTGGACATGTACAGTGATTGTGATAAGTTGGTAGATGGTGAGCGGTTAATTGTGTTTTGGAACAAATAATAATTTCAAATTTTTCGCAACCAAAACGAGAGCAAAATTATTAGAGACAATCTACAAAGTGAAGTGAGTTAATTACCAAGGAATTATATATGAATTAACATTGAACGAGTAAATATAAAGTATAAATATACGCTAATCAGTTTAATCGAATAAACCGAAACCCATGTCTTCATCAGATTCTTCAGCTTCTTCTTCAGCAGCTTCTTCAGCAGCTTCTTCAGCGGCAGCACCACCAGCGGCAGCTGGAGCAGCAGCAGCATAAGCATCTGGGTTAGCTAATCTATCCTTAACAGCTTCAGAACCTTCATAAGTATAGTCAGTGGCAATAGATAAAGCCAAGACGTTCTTGTAGTTGTTGATAATAGTGTGACCAACAGATGGTAAAGTTGGGTAACCAACAGCTAAAGAAATAGAAGCAATGGTGTTGATGGCAGAAACAAAGTGACTGATTAATTCATCATCAGTAATATCCAAAATAGAGGATGGGAAAACTTGTCCATTGTCATAAACTTGAACAACAGTCATACCATAAGTGAATGGAGAAATGTTCAACATGTTCAATAAAGTAGCTTCAGAAGGACCAACCTTAGCATCCTTTGCAACAACCTTAACATCAGAAACAATTTCAATAGTACCTCTAGCAATCTTGGTTGGAACACCTAAAGCTTGGAAGAAAGAAGTCTTACCTGGTTCCATACCAGTGTTACCAGCTGGGACCCAGACATCAGCTGGAGCAACGGCACCAGCTCTAGCTGGGGCAGCAACAACATTAGCGACAACAGTGTCTCTAATGGTCTTTAAATCACTGTTAGTGAAGATGAAACCAACATTACCTTTAACGAAAGGTAATAATTTTTCATATTCTGGTAAATCAGCTAAGAAACCTCTAATAGCTCTTCTAACCATGGTGTTCTTACCCATCAAGACAACAGCTTCACCTCTTAAGGCTTTTCTGATTTCATGCATTTGTTGAGAGGAGACATTGTCAACACCAACAACAAAGATGGATTTGAATTCTTCTAATAATTCTCTTAATTTGACAAAGTATTGAACTTTCTTTTCTCTAGTACCACCCATTTCGACTTATATTTAATATGTTATTGACGATAGGAATTTAATGGTCAAAGTATGATGTCCTTTAAAACATTGATATAACAAAGAAGTGAATGAGATTCAATTGAAAAATACTGCGAGACTGACTGAGGACAGAGCGATTGCGTGCAAGACTGAAAAAAATTTTCAGAATTGAAAAAAAAAATCGAGGAAGAAGCCCTAACTCATGGCACGTGACTAAATCATTCCCAAATTGGCTGCAAAAAAAGTGAGGCCTAACTGTCTTAAGACAAATAGATAGCGACACTATTTACTAAACTAATCAATAGCTATAGACAGAAGGGTTAATGAATGATTTCCAATTTAATATCATCAATTCTATAATTCTCCAATTGCGAAGCATGAATAAAATCTCTAATATTAAATCTACCTTGAAATCTTAATAATTCTAATTTCTTAATTCCTTGGGGAACTTTCCAATCATTTTCAATCCTTATCCCAGGACATCTTAAGTATAGCGTTTTTAAGTTAGACGGTAATTGATGTCTGCCATCTAATCTAAATATTCCATTTGTATCGAATGAATTTGGATATCGATACACCATTACTCTTGATTCTTCATCGATATTATTCGGATGGAATCTATTACTGAAATATAAATCCACTAATGAATTGGGGAATTCAGTATTGAAGAAAGTATAATAAAATATCTTGCCAAATAATCCAGTTATCTTTAGAGATCTTAAACACACAAACTCATTATTTGTTCTAAAATCATCAAATCGTTCAATTTCACAATTAATTAAATTTAATGAAACAACTTTCCGGGGAAATATGAAATATCCCATATCCTTAAATTTCCCATTTATGATCTGTAAATATTCCACATTCTTACAATTCGTCATATTCAAATATGTTGAAATCGGTAATGCATTCCTAATCTCCAAATGAGTAACACTATCGGGCATAATCAATTCGAAATTATTCCGATGTCTAAACGCAAGACTCGTCAAAGAAACATATCTCAACCCAGGAGGCAAATCCCCACTATTGAAATATATAAACTCATCCAGACTTAAACTAACCAATCCACACAATCTCAGGAAAAAACTCCTTGGGTCTTGGATTCTCCCGGTGGGGATTTCTAGATGTTTCAAATGGGGTGTGAAATAAATATCATCACAATAATATTGCCCAGAGTCATAGATATACAGTTGTGTATTTATATTATAAGGAAATGATTGGATTTGTTTTATTTTGAGCCTGTCTTCTTCTGATAATTGAATCCCATCTCGACGTTCACATATCCGAATACTCCCCACCCTCGTTAAGATCTCATCATGAAAACTACTCAATAGAATTAAATCGTCTAGTGAATCGAACGATATTTCTTTGGGAATAAATCCGGGATTTAAGTGCAAGAATTGGATTAGTTTATATACCGATCCAAATATGGCATATCTCTCCAGTGGAGGATTGAAAGGAGTATCCCACCCTTTTTGGTCATTATTATTCATCATACTAAGGTCGAGATTATCTTGAACACTTATTCTGCGATAGAACGTGGAGAAGGCGTATGGACTTATCCAAGTTTTTAGTTGGAGGAGATCATATAGGATATGGCGAGGGATGAGGTCTGTTATTGCTTGGAGAACCTCATGAGGTAGCGATTGAAGAGTTATTAGTGTCATTGGAGACGCGTATACATAGATAAGAGAGAGAGAGATGAAAGATATGTTGAATTATTTTAAATTGATGAGTTAATATTAAAAAACTCAATTTCGTGATCATAATCGTCATTACATCCTAAAACGGTAGTCTTATACATGTATGGCAACCCCTTAAACTTTTTTATATGGGGAACGGAAGAGATGGAGATGACATGATTTATTTATTTTTTAGTTAAATCTATTCTTGACACCGTTAAAAGAATATTTTTTATGCACATGCACAATTATGCGCTTTGATTTCTTCTTATTCTAGAAATCGAACAACCAACCAACAAGATCTACAATACAACAATCCTGATATTAACTCTGGTTATATCAACACAACCCTTTTATTTACAAAAACAATACGAGCAGATCTACAAATTTATTTATGTGTGATTTAAAATAAACTTTAAAACCTTAATTAATTTTAGTCCTTTATTTTAGATATTGCCGATAAGAAAGTTTAATTTACATATACACACATTAAACGCAATTCTCCATTAAACACACATGAAAATAAAATAGTCTATATTCACTAACTATATAACAAATCCAAACTAACCAAATCCTTTATGTTCATAATCAGAACTTATGAATGCATTCTTCAAATATTCATCCCAAACAGCTTGTAATTTACGCAGATCCTCACCATCATCCTTATTATCCTTCCCATTTTTCTTCCCATTCTTTTTCTTTCCCTTCTTTTGTAACTCTTCCATATCCAGCTTCTTATTCACTTCTTTGACGGGCTTACCCAACTTTCTGCCAAACTTAATCCATTCATCCACAATTAAAGAGTTCAACCCATATAATGAATCATCAGTCGCATACTCAATCTCATATCCAAACTTCTTCTTCCCGGCATTAATATTCTCTAAATCGAGATAATATTGGACATATCTTTCCGGAGTGAAGGTTTGATTAGTAAAACCAGGACCAACAGGTAAGTCAGCTGGTTTAGGTAATGGGAAGGTCTTATCTCGTTTCTTAGCAAGGATGGAAAACACACTTTCATCAGCATTATACGATATAGATTCGGGCTCTTCAGGCTCGATATCATATTTATCAAATGAATTCATCATTTCTTCAACCCCAAGGAAAAATTTATCCCAAGGTTCAAACCTCACTGCGGATAATTGATCAGCTAGATTAGTGATATTATACTCCCAAACTCGAATTCCGGGGTTGAAAGTGGGTATAACACTCGCAGCCACATGCGCGACCGAATATCGTTCTGAAAGGTTTCCGGATTTCTTCTTGCCCTTGATGGTGGCGTAGAGTTCTTCTCGGAGAGTTTCCATATATGCGACTTTGTTGGCGGGGATTCCTCCTTGAACTCTGAAGAAATCTTCGTCAAATCTTTCATCCAAAACTCGATAAATATTTAAATCTTCAAGTGGGTGGGTTATATCATCTTCGTCATCGCTGTCGCTATCTGATTCGATGAATAATGAATCTATTTCGTCAAATGATTTGACATCGGTTTGTAATGATTTCTTGATAGATTTCCAAGCAGCAACAGAATCCAAAGGAATAAAATGATCAATATTCATATGTCCATATACCCCACCAATAATAACATCTCTATATTCATGAGTCCATACAATATATTTTCGTAAACAAGAAACATCAAAATTTTTTTCATTAGGTGGAACATGTCCACTTAACCATACTTTCATATTTCTTGCTCTCATTTCTTTTAAAACCACACCTAACCATTCAAATAATTTATATCCTGGTTGTTTCCTTTTATCACAGTTATCAACCAATGGATTAGATTGGAACAAATATAAGGTATTTATAGATAATACCGCCAATTGATTCGGAATCACTTCTTGAAAAAAATAAGCCCCACGCCCAAAAGTATGCATTTGAACAGGTGGGATAAACTTTTGCCAAATTCGATATAATTCTCTAGTTTGTAAAGTGGGCCCCGGGGAGAATAAATTATGAGGAAATACATCATTATTACCCAAAGAAGGAATTACTCCAGTTTCTAATACTGGTTCATCTGAATGTCTAAAAGCATCATACATTAAATCACTTACTTGTTGATTCATATCAAATATTTGTTGTTCAGATCTTGGGTAATTACGATCATTATCATGACGCATATTATCTCCTGTCCAAATTATAAAATCAATCTTGTCTTTTAGATGGTCACTTATCCATTTTATAGTATCATTCATTAATATCATAGGAGCATCACATCCCAAGATTGCATCTCCATATTTCCCTGCTGTTCCTTTACCTCCATGACATAATTTATCAGTAGATGAACCTGGTATATAGTATGGATCTGGATGAATGTCTGTTATGTGTAAGAATCGTCCATGGATTATTTGTTCACCTTTTCCATTGGTGATTATTTTGATTTGTGGTTTTGGCGTAAGACCTAATTGTTTAATTTCATCCTGTTGAGTTTGATTTAATGTAATTGTTTCAATTGATAAATAAGGTGAAATAGCCGTCGAAGGAGGAGTGAAATAGGATAGATAATAAATAGTGTAATACCTTATTGGGAGTAGTATTAATAATAACAAGAATGCCCAACTAATTGTTCTTAAGAATGGTGATGATTTACATTGAGTTTTAATATCATGTTTTTCATTCATTGTTGATGACTATAAAGTTTAACCTCGTATATAACTTAGTAACCAGAAAGAATAAGTAATTTATTAATTTAAAATAGAATTTTTAAAATGCAACAAAAATAATTGATTTATGATGATATTTTTATATTTCTATAGACGTGGTGTTGTTGTAATGTGCAATGTTGGTATATTATGTGTCTGTATAGTATGAGTAGTAATAATGCTTCCTATCAAACAATGAAACTCATCATCAATTTTCAAAACTACTAAACAATTTCTTACAACCAAAAAAAGAAAGGTAATCAGTATTGGTTATTTTGTGCATGGGTACACTACCATACAATTCCAGTTTCACACGTGCCTTCAAATTTTCAATTTCTTTTCTGTATAAGCCGCATGTGTCAACTATGCATTAAAAGATTAAACCTTTCAAGATCATCTATAATAATTAAAGGATGGTCTATAACCAATCTATCAACTTAGCTGATATAGAGAAACTATTGAAACAGTAACCAAGTGTTGCCCAACAGACTTAGAAGTTGAAGTAATAAGTTACTTTCCTTAGAAATTGGTTCCCGTTCTAGTTTACAATGAATTGACTCTTCATTGCAGAACCAAGCAGGATAATATTCTTCAAAAGAAATATTCTAAGAACTCAATATAGATTTGAAAGCAACTCTCCTCGTAGTTTAGAATATACTAGGAGAAGGAAAGCACTAGTCGCAAATTACTTTTAGACAACCCATGGAGTTTGAACAAATTAGTTTTGAAGAGTTTCAGAGCGACGTTGCAGTGAATACTTAATGTTCAGAAAGCTACAATTAGAACTCGCTATAAATGCTCCTAAGAATTTCGAATCCTAAAATTACAATAGAATTATGCAAATATCTTAGATCATATGAATGGAGGCAAGATTGACTCCAATTTGCACTACCCACAAATTTGGCTGCTGATCTAGAACGTAGCGAAATATTGCTTTGCATTTCCTCCCATTGAATTTCACATCCATGACTCTGTCAATGACGTCAAGTACCAAACGATTAAAACTGAAGAATGATAACAGAAATAGCGCTCAGTGTTTGTTTTTGGTCTTTGAGATGATAGCTCCGAAAATTTTAAAAATGAAACTGCGCACCCCAATGTCTGACCCCAAGGAGTTATATCCCCACTGAGTAGATATTTTCCATCCTCAAGGTTTCAAATGACCACAAACGATTGCTTGTGACATAATTCCTTATTCGTTTCTGTAACTCAATGAGAACAAGGAACTTCAATTGTCGGTGCATGTCGTGTATCATTTCGCATTCAAGATCCTTGAACTTAGATGATTTCTTTCTTTCCCTTTTGGGATTCAAAGCATCCAAAAGAGCCGTCCTTTAGGGATTGTAAATATTTTGCACATATGCGAATCTTCTATGTGCATGAGAACTCTTGTTTTTTTCTGTAAACCCAGTGATAGTTTAAGCAGAATCAAAGAGTGACGTCTCCTATTGTGATACCCTTTGATCCTATTAAAACAATCGCTGTACTTACCGATGGACGAATAAGTTCTCAGCAGCAACAATGTTGAGAATAACATCCATACCGAATAGTGACATAACAAGTATGACCTATGGTTTTGAAACGCAATTTTGGGGTTAAAATTCAAGAATGTTCTTTCAGATGGGAGCTTAATTCGGCGGAATTTTTTTATTTTTATCAAAAGAGGATCTGGGCCACGGTTGAATTCACTGCAAGATATCCGTTTGCCCCGTTGAGTCAACTTCTTAAAAAATAGAAATTAGACGAATATTCGAGACCGATGGATAATAATAACTTGTTCTTTGGTGAGTTGTATTTAAGAAATTTATTATTGGATGCAAGAAGCGTTAAAAATATTTGTTATTGGAAACTTAAGAGCAATGCATACACCGCATTTGAAAGTTGACGAAGTTTGCATAGAACTAAAAAATTATTAAATCCCAACAAATCTATGAATGTAATTCCCAGTCATTATGTCACATAAATTGTTGTTGGCTAATTACTACAAACAAATAGTGACGTTCTGCTTAAACTGACCTTTAAAATTTACGAGAAAATAGCTCGTGGCAAATGAACCCTGAAAATATCGAGAGAAAATAAAAATACTAAAAAATAAAATTAGTATTTTCTTTTGATTCGACAAAGTGGCACGGTTTATTTTTTACACAGAGCCTCATTTTAGACAATAAAAGAACAAATTGAGTTCGTTAAAACTGGACAAGCGAAGAACAATAGGTCTTTTGTTTCAGAGAAGAACTTCCGTCTACGCTGTTAGAAGCGCCAAATTATTTGTAGCTACTTCTTCGATTGAAAATTTCCATACCAACATAGCTAGTGTTTTCGATACGAATTCCAAGCTATGTTCAAATTATCTTGGCAGTAAATATGCATGTATTCACCCTGAAAGTTATGCAAAATGTTGATAAAATATCATTCAGGTTCCAAAATATTTTTCATTGTTAAACATTTCTGGCGAAGCTATCAATGGTGCAAACCCCGAACTAAAGCTAATAATTTCCTTCTAGAACTACTCCATTGATATAGTTCTTGGAATGTAGTGCCAGTAGACAATAGCAAGTCTCATAACCATATTTCTATGTCTGGAAATGCTCATATAACACACCACAGCAAGATCTACTCAGATCCTGAATCTTTTTCAACCGCAGACTGCCTCATGTGGCATTACAAATACATGCTATCCGATTGACGATCAAGATGAAAAGCGCCGTACTGCTGAAAAAATATCCAAGCACTCTCCAAACAATTCGGGTATTCAACGGGATATGATACATGAGATCCCACGAACTTCTTGGATAATAACCGAGAGTCATCCAAATTTGCTCTCTATGCACCCTTTAAGTTAAAACCTGATGATGTATTACATTACCAATTGAAACTAGGAAGTTCTTACTTCAACCTCGCCTCGCCTTTTATTGAATAAGGAAGAGAGACAATTGCCCAGTGTATCACATTACTAAAACGAGGTTCGCCTTATTATAGCTATTCAACAGACCAAGAATAGAAGAAATTAGAGGGAAAGTCTTGGCAGGAAATATCTGGATGAAGATTTTACAATTGATAACAAAATATTTTTTAAAATCGGAAAATAAAATATTTTTTCGAATCCGAACAATGGTTGCTTTTGAATTTTTCTTTACAAATTTGCAGCCTCACAAATTCTGACGAACCAAGCCCGAGGTTATTTACTTACAGATACACGAAGTTCCGGTAAGTAACATACGAGATTTACAAACCCATTATCCAGAAATATAGGCCCAGTTTGTGAAACAATAGGATGCAAAAGGGCTTGCTCAGTAAGCCATTGTTTTAATGGTTCTGCATAGTCGTCAACTTGCATGTTTATGTGTTCCATATGGTCGTCAATTTGCATACTACTGCAGATTGGTATAATCATCTACGTTTATTGAAACAAACCTAGACACAAAAAAGAAATCCACTCTGTTTAAGTATTTATAAAGAGGAGGTGATTCCCCGTAAAAGAGCTTGATGAAGAATGTAGGTTCACCATATCAAGTATACAACTATGTTTTCGAAAAGTTTTGCCATACTTTATTTATTTTCCTTGGTAATTTCTCAAGAAGTGACTGGAATTTTCACAAGATTCAATTCTTTGGAATGGAAACCTGCTGCTGATTACCCATTTCAAGGTCCTCGTTATCCAAACTGGATTGCTGACTTATCCTGGATGATTGATGGTTCTAAAGTTACCAAAGGGGACACCTTTACCTTGCACATGCCCTGTGTTTTTAAATTCACAACCAGTGATTCGGAAGTCAATTTGAATGTTAGTGGAAAGACATACGCTACTTGTTCCTTTGCCCCTGGTGATGTTGTCGTTGATTATTCTGAATTGAAATGTGTGGTTTCAGACTCTGTCGGTCCTTCAACGTATGCATATGGTACTGTCCATTTCCCCTTCTCATTCAATGTTGGTGGCTCTGGTTTAACAACTGACTTAAATTGTGCTCCAATTTTCCATGAGGGTGTTAACACTGTTTCCTTTTACGATGGCGACAATGAGCTTTCCACAGACGTCAAATTTGTAGGTGGTGCATCTACGGACCCAACTGTTATTGTTCGGGAAAATAGACTTATCCCATCATTAAATACAGAACAACATTATTTATTAGCTGGAGAATGTGCTAATGGATATCAAAGTGCAACCATTGGGTTTTCGGTCTTGAAAGATGGCGTTAGACTTGATTGTGATTCCATGCACTCGCTTATTACTGACAAGTTGAATGACTGGTACTTCCCTGAATCTGCAACTCAAATCCCTAACCAAGTGAGTTGCTCTTCGAATTTATTAACGGTTACCTTTGCAAATATCCCAAGTGGTTTTACCCCATTTGCTGACGTATTTATGAGAATAAATCCAGGTATTCTGAATCAAATCAAATACATCAATCAATATCAATGTGTAGGCAGCAGCCATGTCACCGACAATCTGAAAACAGTCACTTGGAGTCCATATGTAAATGATTCCCCCGGTGCTAATGGTCAAGAAGTTATCGTCACTACTCAAACCTGGACTGGACTGACGACCCACGTGACGACATTACCCTATACCACAGGTACAGGAACCATCACCATTGAGGTGAATGTTCCAATCCCAACCGTCACCACTACTACCACGTGTGATTGTCCTGCTGCTACAAGTACTTTTACTGCTACTCCTGGCGACACTGCAACTGTGATTGAATATATCCCTGAAGTAACTACCGAAGAAGACGTTTCCAGCACAGAAGACGGAGCATCTTCCACAACATCCGACGAAGAAGTTTGTACCACAGAAGAGGAAGAAGCACCTACAACATCCGATGAAGAGTTGTCCAGCACAGAAGAGGAAGGATCATCTACAACATCTGAAGAAGAGATTTTCACCACAGAAGAGGAAGAATCGTCAACATCTGATGAAGAAGTTTCCAGCACAGAAGACGAAGAATCATTCACAACATCCGATGAAGAGACTACTGGCACAGGAGATGAGGAATCAGCAACTACAATCGATGCAGAAGTGAGTACCTGCGAAGAACCATTGGAAACATCATCTGATGTGGTTGGGTCCACCATTACAGGTACCGAAGACGAATCTGCATCAGATATTGAAGATTCAACAAGTATTGAACCTCAAGAATCATCGGATACTGCTGTATTTACGACAAGTACTGACGAACCATGTACTAAATTTGAGACATCTTCTGACGTCGAGGAACCATATATCGTGGAAGAATCTTCTTCGTCATTATGCCATTCAACAACCATTGAGATTGAAACTTCTTCAGATTTGGAAGAGACTACATCTGCTATTGAGTCTTTGAATACATCATCGAATGAGGAACCATTCACGCCTAAAACAACCGAAGTATCTGTATTATCAGAATCAACTACTCATCCAGTTGAAGAATCATCTAGTGGTATCGGACATGAAGGAGAGTCATCTACTACATTTTTCGAGGAGTCATCAAGTATCAAGATTGGGTCTTCGAAAAGTCAAACGTTTTCCACGAATATCAGCGAATCATCTAGTATTCAAGAATCATTCCCTCCAGCTGATGAAGAATCATCAACGATTGAAACTTCAACCGCTTCCACCCAATACATTACGACAACAATCATCGATGGTAGAACAACTACTGTGACAGTGTCGGAAGCAACCACTATAACAGCTGATGACGACGAGAGTTTAAGTACACTCAGCGGCCCTGCTAATACCATCCCAGTACATACTTCAACTGAGCCCAGAGCCAACCAAAGTTCAGGAATTGCTTCCAATGGTAGGGTAAGCACCTTCGACACGACTTTTATCTCCACAACAAAGGTTGGTTCAACTGACGCAGATGACTCAGCTACTGCTCGTGTTACAAGTCGTTCCAATGAACCTAGTCAATGGACTACAGGCTCAGCACTGGTTCCAAATCCCCCAGAAACCTTCCTTGGATCTGCTTCTTCTTTAACTTTGTCAGCAATGTTGGTCATTTTTATTGAAATAATTGCTACTTTGATATTATAGTTTTAAAACTTAGATTTGAGCAAAATATTGCTTTTTTATATAGTTTCTATGTTAGTTATTTTGTTTAGTCTAATCGATAAATCTTAATTCTGAGTCAGATCTGATGTGAAGACCTTTAAAGTTCTTCAAAGTTCCTTGGAAAGTTAGCTGGAAATTTTAAAGCACGCCTTCAACTGAAGAGGAATGAAACGCTTTTCACAATAATAAAGAATACCAAAAGTTAGACTACCTACTATATAGTGGGAACTTTCAAAAATTAGAGTATGGAATCGATGAAAAGATAAGAACCCGGTTCCTATTCAGAAGTGCAAGTATATAAAGAATAGAGATAAAATAAAAGACAGCAAGTTTTCAATATATCTATTTTGACCCCATAACTCTATTTGCACTTAGTAATAGTAAAATAGATACCTAACCAGAGTCGTTTCATGAAAATAATAATTAAAGTATGTGTTGTAGTAAAGTTTTGTTAACATGTAATTTTATGAAAGATTTGGAAAAAAATCCCAAACGAAAAGAGTTGCAAAAAATTTGCAACCCCAAAATGCCATTTTCGCCAAATCAGTGGAATTTTCCACCACACTACCAAATGAATGCATTACATATATATATGAACACTATTCGCCCGAGAGATCTTGTTTATATCTGTACGTTCAGTGGCAGTTCATGCAGAATCCAGTAGCGACGTCTCCTATCGTGATACCATTTGATCTTATTTAAAGCAATTACTGTATGCACCGATGGAAAATAAGTTCTCAACAGCAATAATGTTGCAAATACTAGCCATGCCGAATAGCGACATGACAGATATGATTTATGGTTTCGAAGCTCAATTTAAACAATGATACTGGGTCATTCAGAGAAGCCAAGATTCAAGGATGTGTTCAGGTCGGAGTTTAACCTGGTGGAAGCTTTTTTTGTTCATTAATCTTTTGTACCGGTTATAAATTAAGCTTTTATATTATCACCTTCTGATATTGATGATATGTTGAAATATGTATATTGGCAGGATCTGTCTACTCTCACTTTATTTTTTTTGACATAATAGGCGTGTGTTAAACTACGAATAACTTCGCTTTTTTTTTTATAGCATGGGCCAAAATCAACAAAGTATTTAAAAAACCTGCTTTCTTAGTTAGATTAAGAAAGAAAACGAGCATACGCGTGGTTGTCATGGTGATATGTTATATTAATCAGGCTATACAAGGCAGGTGATTACATAATGCGGATAGACCGTTGATAGGCGTAAAGAAGGTTGGGGAGGGTATGTTGGAAAAGGTGTAATCTAATGGCTTTTCGCAGTCAAGCAAATATGAGAATAAAAATAAAAATAAATGTGAAAAAAAAAATTTTATTATAGAAAAAAAAAGGTTTCTTGAACAATAGAAAAAAATTAGATGAGTATACTGTTGCACGAGATAATCCAAGGTCTGAATATCCTGCTCTCGTCGACCCATGGATTAACGGGGAAGTAATCCAGACTCTCCGAGATCCGTTTATAAAATAAATGTGATCATATTAATTCCATTAGAAAATAAACTTGGTCATATTAAATCACTGGTACGTATTTAATATATGATAAAATATACTAACATAACATTACTTTAATATAAACAACATAAGATATAAGATATATGACATACCATAAATACTACAATATAAGATATAAGAATATGAACAGTAAACGCTGAATAAGATGAACATAGTAAACAGAATAACTGAAATATATGAATAACTAATACGAGAAAAAGGAAAGTGAATATATATAGAAAAGAAACAAGATTATGTAAAAAAAAAAAAAATAATATTATGAACAAGTCATGGACTTGATGAGACGCGATCACAGATCATACAATATTGAGAAAAGACGTGATCATAGATCACTTACATGGCCATAGACCAAACGGATGAAAGATGATGTCGGCATAGCCCGACAGCCCGAGCATAGCTCACAGACAAATATAAATAGTCCACTTCAAACTAAATATATCTCTTTATACAACTAACCAAAAATACATAATATACTTTATTACACTAAGTATAACTTATTAACCAACTTAACTATTAATAACTATTCATCACAAAATGAATAGACAACAACAAACACAAAACCAAGAAACTGCCTCAAGAGAGCCCAACCTTCAACATATACGAGATGGTGAGATAATGCGTTTTGGATGACTGGGTTTACGAAAACCATTATTAGATAAACCAGCATTGAAAAATATTTGTTATTGGAAACTTACTAAAAAATCAATACGTCAGGCTTCATCCACTGTGGCAACGGCTCGCCCGGAGCTAGATTTTGGGGGTGGGGAGACCATCCTTATCCCACGACAAATGCTTTACCCGTTTCTTTGTTAGCTTTTAGAGGAGTGTATGCAAGTATTAATAAACAGTGCTATCCATCCGCTGTTATAAAAATGCGAGGGCTTGATTTGGAAGCTGACGAAATTCATGAACTGAACTAAAGCTAGATCTATTAAATCTATGAATGTAATTTCTACTCATTACTTCACGTAATGATGAATAAGTGGCTAATTACTTGAATAAAACAATGACCTTTTGCATATGGCGAACTTCAAAATTTAAGCGAAAATAGTCTGTGGCAAATGAACCCTGAAAACGTTTTCTGAAAGAATAAAAATGTAAATAAGATATTTTGGTAGATAAAATGGGCCGGCTTATTTTTTATACACGAGCCTTATTTCAGACAATCATAGAACTACTTAAGTTCTCCTAAATTGGACAACCGAAGTGCCCTAGGTCTTTTGTTTCAGAGACAAACTTTAGTTCGTTGTAGTGAGTGTCAAATTATTTGCAGCTACATATTGTATTGAAATTTCCATACCGTCGTAGCTAGTATGTTTAGTCCGAAGCTATGTTCATTTTATCTTGTCAGGAAAATTATGGAGCCAACATGCATGTGCTCGCCCTGATAATCATGCAAAAGTGTTGATGATCTATATTATTTGAGGCAATACTTGCATTGTATTTTGGTGATACTTATATTATTTTTTTAAAAATTTATTTTTTTTTATCTATTTTATAGCTAAGGTATATTATTATCATTTGAATATTATTTTTTATTGTTACTCCAGTCACCTCACACGGGCCACTACTGCTTTCGCATTATCAAGATGTAAACAGCCGCCCGCAAAACAATATCGAAGCATTTTTGGAATAGGAATACCACGAGATTTTAAGC